TTCCTATGGTTTTCCTATGATTTCAGCAAGAGAGCCCGGGCGGGAAATTTGTACAATTTTTGTGAAAAAAAGCATTGGGTTTTTGATGTTTTTATGTTGAAATGCTTGCAAACACACGGTGTTCGGTAGGATTCTGACATGAACGCGCGCGTGTGCTCTTTGTGGTATTTTTTGCAATGGATTATCGCCGTGGACGACAGGACGTCCATGTCGAGAGGAAAAAATAAGAAAAATGTTGATTTTGTATTGTTTTTTACAGGTTAGGATGGGACCACCCGGATGCGCCCGCTATCTGCCGGCCTGAGGGGGGAGTAGGAGTATATTCTAATAAGGAATAATGATAGGAGTAGTAGTAGTAGTAGTAGTAGTAGTAGTAGTAGTAGTAGTAGTAGTAGTAGCACTGCCACTACCACTACTACTGCCGAGCAACTACTACCACCACTAGGTTCGTGCACCTGGTGGCGAGGGGCGGCCCCGAGGACCTCGGCCTCTTCGTCGGGGGCCCCGAGACCTTCGCCCAGCAGGGGGCCAGCGCGAGCGCGGTCGTCGTCGACGCCGCCGCGCTCTGGCTCGAGCTCCAGGGCGAAGAGCAGGCGCGCGCCCACGAGAGCGAGGTGAACGCCGCAGGCGCCAACAGACGCACCCAGAACCTCCGCCGCAAGTTCCGCGAGACGCACGCCGAGCAGGACGCGGCAGCCTTCGAGGCCGAGGGGGCCAAGTACTCGGCAGAGCACCCCGACCACGAGGGGCAAGTGGGGCAGGCCTACTCGAGCGCAGGGGACAAGTGCAGGACCATCCTCATCAACGTCTCCGCAGCCGAGAACTGGTCTGACCCGAGCAGGGGGCCCAAGTTCGCCAGGAAGCGCAGCGCGCTCCTTGCTCCCCGCGCAAGGCACTGCCGAGTGAGCGACGTGAACCTCGAGGAGGGCACCCCGCGGGGCGACGTCACCCACGAGCGGGGCGATGGCGAGACGGAGCGTTTCCGAGCAGGCGAGCCCCTCGGAGCAGTGCTCGAGGGCTGGCGCAACGCTCTGCTCGAGTTCTCCGAGGAGGAGCGCGCGAGGGTCTTCGAGGCCATCGACGCGCGGGGGCAGCCCAGGGCCTGGACGGACGGGCTGGTCGCTTCCTGGACCATCGCCTTCATCGAGCAGGAGCACGGCCAGAGCCTCGCGTTTGCAGACTGCCTCTCGAGCCATTTACCGAGGCAGTGGCGCTCCGAGCGTGGCTCCAGAATGCGATCTATGCGCCCATGGCCCCCGTCGTCACGAGCTACTTGCAGGGGCCGGACGCCCGCGATCACAGCCAGCTCAAGGCCGCAGTCCGAGAGTTCAAGGGCGAGATGCACTGGGCCATGGAGCAGGAATTGCTCCAGAAGGCCATGGCCGAGTCCCAGAAGCAGTGCAAGTCCCGACCCAATCGGGGCCCTGCGAGCGCCTCAGCTGCGTCTCCGAGGCCTGCGCCCGCTTCCGCGAGAAGAACAAGGACGCGGCGCCGTTCCAAGGGCTGCAAGCGAACCAACTGCTCGCGGCCCGGCCGACAGAGCAGGGCGAGCTCAAGGTCGTCGCGGGCATGGGGCCGTGGAGCCACTCCATCGAACCCGGCCGCGGCATCCAGAACAGCCTGGCGAGGGGGCGCCTGCAGGGCATCCAGAGCGGGCCCGAGGGCGCGCCGCCCGTGCCCGGGCGGAGCGTCCTCGACGGGAACTGTTTCCACAACGACGACTTGCCCAGGGACTACGAGCAGAGCGAGAACCCTTGCTTCCTGGAGCTCCGAGAACTGGACTTCGAGCTCCCTGGCGAGCAGAAGGACATGCTCAGGCCGCCAGAAGAGCGGATCAAGGAGATCCAGTTCCCTCGCCCCCTCCAGAAGCACATCAAGTTCTTACGAGCGTGCGTTCGCAAGAACAGGTGCGGGCCCAAGTTCGCGGGCCAGTTCCCGGGCAAGCGCGCGCAAGTGGCAGCGCGAGAAGGCCAAGACTGGAGGCGAGGCCTCGCTCGAGCACCTGGGCCGAGGCGTGGCCAAGGCGAAGCTCACGGGCAGGCCGCCGAAGGCGCGCGCGATCATCTCCAAGAAGTTCAAGAGGAAGAAGCCGGCGGACAAGAACACCAAGCAGAAAGCGACCACCAAGAAGAAAGCAGGCCTCGAGGCTGGCGGGGGGGGCCCCTGGCACGGCAAGTTGGCGCGCGCCGCCGATGAGGGCGCCCGCGAGGGCAGGCGCGGCAGAGTGCAGGACGTCTGGCGAGTCCTGGGCACCGAGGGCGCGCGCCGCCTGCGCGCCCTCGAGGCGGGGGCCGCGGCGATCTTCCGGATCGAGAGCAGCGAGGCTGGGAGGCCCACGGGCGCCCGTTAGCTTCCGCCTGCTTCAGGCTGAGGCGGCGGAAGCAAACGGAAGTTAGCGGAAACGGCGCCAGCGACGGCGGAAGCGGCGGAAGTTGGCGGAAAGCCTGCGGAAGCAGGCGGAAGCGACGCGAAGCGGAAGCAGGCGGAAGCTAACGAGTGCTTGTGAATCCCGAGCGCCACATGCCACGATCGAGCAGAGGACTACAAGTTCCCCAAACCGCACGAGCTCGACTGGCGCCAGACCAGACAGGCTCGCCGCACCAAGCTCGCCATGGAGTACGCGATCATGAGCTGCGAGCAGATCGTCGAGGGCGACGCCCTCGAGCTGGGCACAGCGCGAGCGCTGCTGACCGAGATCGAGGGGGCGCGGGCGCCCCCGAGACCGCTCTGGCGGTCGAGCCCGCGGCGGCCGTCGCCTCGGCTCGAGAGGGCCAGAGCGAGGGCGAGCCCGCCGCCCAGCAGCCAGATGGGGCAGAAGCGCTGGGCCGAGAGGGTCGAGAAGGCCCAGCGTGTGCATATCTGCGTGCGCTCCGAGGCGCCCGCGCTCTACGCGTACCACCAGTTGTCCGCTCAGTTGCGGGGCGAATCTTGGAGGCACCAAAACTCGCACATACGCCCCGCGATTTCTGAGGGGGGTAGTAGGGTTCACTTTGCTCGGGAGCTGCCGAACGAATTGAACCGCGCCCCCCCTTTCAGGAATCGCGGGTAGGGTTCGCGCGTGGCCTCTCATGGCCGCCGCGAGGATTCCCCGCGAGCTCGGCGCCATTGGCCCTGGCAAGAGTTGCCCTGCACCGAGCAACATGATGTTCCAAGCAGACTGTTCGAGCTGCGGCCTGTGGGCGAGTCGCAAGATCGAGCGCACCCTGCGCGGGATCCGAGGCGAGGGCCGCCAAACGCCCGCGAGCATCAACGCGACGTGCGCCCGAGGCAGCGAGTGGACCAGCATGCTCAAGGAGGCCAGCGACAACGACTTGGCGACGGCCAAGGTCGAGGCCGAGACCAAGCACAAGTCCAAGCCCAAGCCCTGCAAGGGCCCCACGGCGGCCGAGCCGAAGTGCGCCACCTTCGAGGAGGCAAGCGCTGCCGCCCAAGCGCGCACCAAGTGCACCCCATGCAATGACGGGCCGAAAGGATGCCGCGCTTGCATGGGGGAACTGTTCGAAGTCCAGCGCGAGAGAGGTTTCTCGGCCAGAACGGCCAAGGGCCTCTCTTGCGCTGGCAAGTTGTAGGCACGAGCCTCGAGGTCTCCCGAGTCAGTCTTGCACCGAGCGCCTGCTGGCAAGTTGTGTAGCCAGGGGCTTCGAGGTCTGTTGAGTCAGTCTTGCGCCGAGCGCCTGCTGGCAAGTTGTGTAGCCACGAGCCTCGAATTCTCTCGAACCAGTCTTGTGCCGAGCGCCCAGGATCACCATCATCATGATCATTGTCATCATCATCATCATCATCATCATCATCATCACATTAACTTACACTCCCGGGGCAAATCCATTATTTTCACTGCCACACCCCCGGTTTCCATCATCCCTCGGTGGTAATTGTTTCTCGTGGTCGGTTATTCAAAACGAACGCCAAACCAAACAGGGTCGTGAAAAACGATGACCCAAGTTTGAACATGAAGTTCCGCATCGCAACACTATGCCTTGCGGCGGTGACCCAAGCGACACGCAAGTCCTTGCATGAGGATGATTCGCATGTCGCTCTCTTCCGCGGGGCGGGCGGTTCCGAAAAGCTTGGGACGTTGACGCGTCCGCGCTGATGTTTCGGATCGGCGCTGGAGCCCCCTGGCGGCGCCTCCGGCGCCGCCCCTGGCGCGCTCCGCGCGACAGGGAGGGGCGTTCAGTGCCGATTCAACAAATCAGCGCGGACTTTCGAAAGTTCGAATTTATGTCATTATTTGTTCCTCGGGATCGAAAGAGGTGTGGCAAAAACGGGGACAGAGTTCGGCAGCATGCCCTGCCTACAGTCAGCAACTTTGGGGTAGCGTGTCGCGCCGCAAGTTCTGGTCCACCACGCTTCTGTGCGACGCCTTATCTATGTCCCAGCCCCGAGGCGTCAACCGCCCGAGCTTTTCCGAGCCTCCCACCTCGCCGAGCAGAGCGACACGCAAATCATCCGCTTGCACGGCATAGCGTGATCGTATACCGGCCTTCCAGGCGGGGTCCGAGTAGATGGTGTGGGAGGGTCGCGCCGCATCGGCTATACATCGCCGATGCGGTTTGATGTGGAGCCCAACGTTCCCAATAGTGACGTCGCCGATGCATCGCCGAAGTCGCTGATGCTCCGGTGGTGCATGGGCGATGCTTTGGCGATGCCGCGCGATCCTCCGACCCCATTCTCTCGGACCCCATCTGGGAGGCCTTTAATGTTCCGCCTACCTTCCGAAGAACAAAACAGTACATACATATAAACGCCCCCTGGCGGCGCCTCTGGCGCCGCCCCTGGTTCACTCCAGCTCCATCGCCGATCCAAGAAATCCGCGCGGGCTTCCGACACCTTGTGTATATGCCTTTTTGCTATTTTGTTGGGCCAGGATCGCTGTCTTGGCCGTTGTCCATTTGAGACAGACGCTCGCCTGCCCAACAGTGGGCGGTGCTGGTTTTGGACACCATTCGCTGTGGGGCATCGTGCCCACTTTTCTTTGCCCATCTTGGGCGTACCACAAGGAGGTCTCCGAGCAAGTCAGAGCAAGGTTGGCCCAGCTGGAGCGGCTGCAGAGCGAGTCGGCGGAGGAGAGGATTAACACGCAGAAGGAGGTGGCGGAGCAGCGGATGCTCCTGGAACTCGCGGAGTTCAAGCTGGAGGAGTCCGAAGAAGAACAAACTGCAGGAACATAGACTTTCGGAGCTCTGCGCGGATTTCTTGCCCCAGCCATGGACACCCCTCCCTGGCGCAGGAGGCGTGCCAGAGGCGGCGCCGGAGGCATCGCCAGGGGCGTCCGAGCGCCCAGCCAAGAAATCCGCTCTGGCCTCCGAAAGTTTGTGTTTAGGTTGTTGCTTCGGTCGCCCAAGGAGTCGAGGCATGCACTGGCTGCCACATCTTCCGAGCGGGCAACCGTTCAGGTCGGCAGTGGCGAATCTGGCCATGATATCTCAGCCCCACTAGCCTACCCTGCCAGGTGGGGGTCGACCCGGCGACCACCAAGAAACAGGCGTGCATCCCCACCTAGGAGGGTAAGCAGGCCAGTAGGGCCAGGGCCACGCCAGCGGGTATAGGGATCGGTAATAGACACTGCTATGCAGGTTTCGCTGGCCCAGGAGCTGGAGCGCCACACGTTGCTCAGAGGCCACGCGGCGGAGCTGGAGGAGCGGCTGTCGCTGGAGAAGCGGGGCGCCGAGGCCCTGGAGCAGAGGCTGGCAGGCCTCGAGTCCACGTCTGCCCAAGCCGAGGAAGTCGAAGTGGAACAAACGGCGTGGGACTACTTTCTCGAAGGCCCGCGCTGATTTCTTGGATCGGCGCGGGCCCCCCTGGCGGCGCCTCCGGCGGGGGCTCGGGCTTCATAGCGAATCCAAGAAATATGCGCGGAGCCCCGACGGCTTCTGCTTGTGATTTGTTCCTTCCAGGAAGACCGCAATGCCTTGGCAGTGCGGCTGGCTGAAGAGGAGAGCCTGAGGGCCTCCATCGACCAGAGTCTTCAGAAGCAGCGCGCCGTCTCCAGGAGGCTCTCCGTAGGCAAGCCGACGGAGGACCTTACGAAGATGCTCGCGGATGAGCAGGAGATGCACGACCAGCTGCAGCGCCAGATCGGATCTATGGAGGCCCAGCTCGTGCAGAGGAGCGCGTCCCTGGAGGCGGCCCAGGCTCGCCTTGGGGAGGCCGAGGCGGCCGCCCGAGAGGAGGCGGAGAGGCTCGCGGCCAGGGCGTCCGCTCACGCCGCCGAGGCGGCGACCCTGGAGAGCCAGCTTGGGCAGGAGAGGCGAAGAGTGGAGGCCCTCGAGCAGCGGCTGGCGCGCCACGAGGCCGACGCAGAGACCCAGCGCGACGAGCGCATGAGGATGGTGCAGCGAGCGCTCGACGTGGCCCAGCTCCAGGCAGAGCTCACCGAGGAGCGCATGCGCCAGGAGGAGCTGAGCCGCCAAGCGGCCCTCGAGACCGACGAGCGTGTGGCTGGGCTTCAGACCGAGCTCGCCGAGAAGCAGAGTTGCCAGGAGGAGTTGAGCCAGCGCCTGGCTCAGGCCGAGGCCGACCTGGCGCAGGCGCGCGAGAGCGCGGCCGAGGCCGCTCTGGCGCAGGCACGGGGCAGCACCGCCATCGCGGATGCCAACGAGGAGCGGGCACCCTTGCCGCAGCATGCGGCCGTCCCTGTCAAGATGGTTGACCAGGTGTTTCAGGAGTCCTCTACCCCGGCGAGGCAGGACGAGCAGATTGTTCAGAGGCAGCAGGTGCAGCTGAAACCGGCTCCCGGCCAAGATGCCGAGCTTCTGGCCATCAGGGCGGAGCTCAAGGAGGCGCGCGAGGCTGAAGTGGAGACGCAGAGGCTTGCAGCAGATGTCGAACGCCAGCACGAGGAGGAACGTCAGCGCTTCGAGCGTGCCTGGGACTGCGTCCGCGCGGCAGAGCAGGCTAAACATGCACTGGAGGAGCGGTTGCAGGAGGTGGAGCGAAGCCTGGCCCAGAACCAGGGCGCTGCTGCCAGCAGCGAGGAGCTCATCCGTAGCTTGCAGGGGTCCCTTGCGGAGGCCAATCAGCGACAGGCCCAGCTGTCGGTGAAGCACGACGCCATGGCTGCCTCGCTAGTGGCAGCCCAGGCAGCGCAAGCACAAGAGGAGTCCAGGAGGAAGAAGCTGTCCCTCGACAAGTCGGAGCTCGAGGCCTCGAGGAGCTCAGTGCAGGCGGCCCTGGGCGAGCAGAGGTTGCGCGCGGAGCAGCTGTCGGCGCGCTGCTTGGAGCTGGAGGCGCTCTCCGCGCAGGCCCGGGCAGAGGCGGCCGACGCGCAGGCACGCTTGGCCGCGCGGAGGGCCGAGGAGCGCTCTGCCGAGAGCGAGGGCGTGGTCAGACGGGGCCAGGGTGCGGCGGCAGCGCAGGTGGAGAAGGTGGGTCTGGATCTCCAGGCGCTCGAGGCGTCGAACAGCTCCGCGCAAGCGGCCCTGGACGACGAGCGCGAGCGGGCCAGGCAACTCTCCAGCCGCTGCCGGGAGCTGGAGCAGCTCTCCTCGAACGCGAGGGCCGAGCTGGCGCAGGTGCAGGAGCGCTCCGCCGCGTACGCCGCCACGGTCGCCCAGGGCCAGGACTCAGGGGAGGAACAAGTACTGCTGCCTCTGCTCGTCCTGGAATGCCCTCGTTGCCTGTTGGTGCCCAGCGTGTCTCTCCCAGGCCACACGGTATGAGTTTGCCTATTGCAGGTCGGCTTGTGCGGAGTTCTGGATTTTCCTGTCGACTCTCTGACTCGCACCCTGGTTTTGCATAGCCGCGTTCCCTCTTGCACTGCTGTGTTTAGTTTTTTTAGTTTTCTATCTTTCCCTCTTTCTCTCTCTCTCTCTCTTTCTCTATATATACATACGAAGCGCGGTGTGGATGGTCCTAAACGTGCTTCCCAGAACGCACCTCGGGAGATGACCAGAGAGCCACGGCATCGGTACCTTCACTTCTCCCCCCAGGACGCGGCCGCGGCACAGGCGGATATTCAGCTCGAGGCGATGGCGCTGGATTTCAAGGCGCTCGAGGCGTCGAAAGCGACGGCGCAGAAGGCGCTCGACCAGGAACGTGCGCGGGCCACGCAGTTGTCCAGCCGCTGCCAGGAGCTGGAGCAGCTCTGCTCGCAGGGGGAGTCCGACCTGGCGCGAGCGATCGCCGACCTCGCTGCCGCGGAGGCCAGGGCGAACCGGTCCTCCGCGCAGGCCATCGCGCCCGTCGAGGTGAAGTTCCAGGAGCCGAAGAAGAAAAGACTGGACAAGACAATGCTTCCGGAGCTCCTCGCGGATTGCTTGGATCGGCGCTGGACCGCTGCGCCACCCTCACTGGCGAGCGGAGTGCGCCAGGGGCGACGCCGCAGGCGCCGCCGCGGCGCCGCGAGGGGGGTCCAGGCGCCCACCCAAGAGATCCGCGCGGACCTCGCTAATGCTTGTGCCTTTCTTGTTTCTCCGAGGAGTCGGCGCTCCCACGGCCCTCGGCCTTCCCCGCGGAGGAGGCACGGGCCGACGGGGGCCCAGAGACGGCCCACCGCGAGCTGCAGATGCAGGTCGAGCAGGCCGTGGCGGCCCAGGAGCGGCTGCGCGAGGGGCTCGAGAGGGCCGAGGCCGAGGTCGCGGCGTCCCGGGGCCAGGGCGGCGCCGCGAGCGAGAGCGCGGCGCAAGCGGAGGCCGAGCTGATCCGGGAGCGGGCGAGGGCACAGGCCTCCACCGCCAGAATGTAGATCCACATTTAGCACCCCGCAGTGGGTGGGCGGGTGCGGGGTGGGTCCCGGGTGGGTCCCGGGCCGGTTGTGGGTGGGTCGCGGGTTGGGTGGCGGGTGGGACGACGATAATAATAATATTTTCAAGATTGTTCGCTCTTGTCTGCCCGCGTGCCATTCAACACGTATACCTCAAATTCTCGATCCCCGCCCTCTTCGTCTTCATCGTGCCCCCTTGGGGGTATATCTTCCTTGCCTGCCACGTGTATTTGGCGCAGCCCCTACAACAGGGGAAGAGAGGACGGATGGAAGGAAGGGACAAGATGGAGACGGATGGAGCACGAGAGAGGTATAGCAGGAGAGGGGCTAGGAGCAGCAAGCGCATGGCAGAGGCAAACGGGAAGATCTGGCGGGTAGACCCTAACGGGCGGGTCGGGAAGGCGGGCCCAGGCGGCCAGGTCGAGCAGGCGGGTTGCTGAAGCGTGAGCCAAGAATATGGAGGCCAGAGCGAGAGCGTGATTTCTGAGTGTCGACGGCGCGGCGTTACAATATATTGCGAGGAAGTTCCACGCAAGAGCTCGATTCCTGCATTCATTCTGCCGAAGTCTTGCGAGGGCGCGAATTTGGTATGCACTGGGGGAAGTATCAGGCGTGAGCCGTTGTTGTTGTTGTTGTTGTTGGTGGTGGTGGTGGTGTTGTTGTTGTTGATGAATTTTCGCTTGCGAAGAAGAATCCTTGTTGACCCCCTACCACCGTTGCACATTGTGTTTTTTTATCAACCGAAGTGCCACCATCGGGGCTCGCACCTTCTTCCTAATCAGGGAAGGTATTCCTGTTCAAACTGTGTTGTTGGCCTTCCTGCTACAGCAACAACCGCTCCTGCCTGATATTTTCTGACAATGTATGCAAGAATCTCGCTTTCGCCCGATTTGCCCGTCTGGTTCTACCACGTGTTTCCTGCTCCTAGCTCCCCTCTTGCTCACTTCTCTCGTGTTCCATCCTTCTCCCTCCCCCTTCGATCCATCCTCTCTTCCCCTGCCTTAGTGGCTGCATTGCATGCACATGGCAGGTAAGGAAGATGTACCCCCAAGGGGGTACGATCGAAGCTACCAGGGGGGTGGGACATACGTGTTGAATGGCACGCGAGCAGATAGGAGCGAACAGTCTTACGTAAATGAGTGTTGCTGTGGTTGTTGTTGTAGCTCGGGGGCCAACAAGCCAATCTAAGAAGGCAGACTTCCCCTTGTGAGAAACAGGATGCGAGCCCCAGGAGGAGCACTTCAATTGAAAAACGCGAGGTGCACCAGGCCGGGGGAATCAAGAGTATGTTTTGAAATGATATGAGAATGTGACAGCAGCAATCCGCACCGCGGAATCCCACTTCAGCCACGCACCCATGGACAGTAAATGACCCTTCGGCCCCCCCACTCTAATCTACCGCTTCGGCGTCGAGCCTTGGGTTCTCGAGAAGCGTCGGATGCGGATATCCGCTCGCCTGTATGAGCCAGCAGATACGGTGGGGGTGTTGGTTAAGGAATGTGCCCAGGAGGCTTCTTTATCTGATGAGGGCGGCGATAACATCCAGGGCCAATCCACGATTGCAGTCCCACCGGCTGGTCCAATGGTTCCTTATCTATTGCCCTCACCGTGTCCACATCCACCGCTCACCGAGATCCCAGTGCACGAACCCGCGGCAGTGGGTCTGGTCACATTTTGGCGGCGCACAGGCGCTGCTGGAGAGGTTTCAGGAGGCCGAGCGCGCCAGGGCCGATCTGGAGGCCCGCCTGGCCGCCGCCGAGCAGGGCTCGATCGGCGGGCCGTCCAGCGGAGCCGCCGACGTGGACTCCCGCATCCGGAGCCTGCAGGACGTCAGAGACGGAAAAGGTATCGATGCCGCTGCCCTGCCCCTCGTCTTCGCCTTTTTCTGGGCCTCCTGGGGGATGCCCCCGTCGCCGCGGCTAGCTTCGCCGTGAGATCCTGGCCAGAACGAATCCCCGAGGAGATCTCTGGGGAGTATAGCGGTCTCGGCCATCAGGAGGGACACATCTGCACAAACATATACAGGCGTTAGTGCTCGCAAACGTATGCGAAAGCATGGGACGTGGAGGGGAAGAGGAGAACCCAGGAGATATAGGAACACGTGAGAGACCGCGGAGTTTGTGTCTTTGATTCGTTTGCCCCTGCGCTCCTTGAGGACGAGCTTAAGGCCGAACAGCTGCGGGGTGCCCTGCTACTGGAGGCCCAGCGGCAGCTGGCCGAGGACCCCGCGTCGGGCGAGAGCCTTCGCAGCGAGCTGGCGCAGAGGCGGCTTGAGCTGGAGGCGCTGCGGGCGCAGGGCGACGTCGCGCTGGGCCGCGCGATGCACGCGGAGGCTGTGGAGAGAAATTCGAGCCCTGCCCTCGCCGATCACCGATTCAGGCAACTTGATGCGCGGGGGGGAAGCAAAAACTGCATGAGCCCAGAACTTCCTGAGCTCCTCGCGGATTCCTTGGAACCACGCTCGGGCGCCCTAGCGCTTCCAGCGCTGCCCCTGGCGCGCTCTGCGCGCCAGAGAGGGGGCTGAGCGCACATCCAAGAAATCCGTGCGGACCTCCAAAAGAACCCCCCGGGGGGTCCCGCCCAGGGACCTCGGCGGGGTATGGGGGGCCCGGGGCCTCGCCAGAACCCCGGGGGACGTGGCCGGGGGCGTCCCGCCCAGGGACCTCGGCGGGGTATGGGGAGCCCGGGGCCTTACTTTCCCTGTGTTTTTTTAACGGTTACGGCCGCCCAGAGCCACCAGAGCCCCGGGGGACGTGGCCGCGGGGGGTCCCACCCTGGAAGCGTTACCTCGCGGCACCGGAGGACCGCACCGGAGGAGCCCGCAGATAGCACTCGGGGCCAAGCTAAGCCTTGCTGAGCCCTGCTAGCTCCTGCTAAGCAATGATAAGCCAGGCTCGCCCCCTGCTGAGCCCTGCTGCGCCCTGCAAAGCTCATGCCAAGCCTTGCGAGCCCCTGCTGAGCGCTGCTGAGCGCTGCTAAGCCCTGCTATCCCCTGCTGGGCCTTGCTAAGTCCTGTTCGCCCGGAAATGCGAGGGGCGCTTAGCGCTTAGCATCTCTTAAGAGTCTCGGATCCCTGGGATAGGCAATCCTTTGCTGTTTCGTAAAATTTCCGAGGAAATGCACAGAATCTCCAAAGGCATCCCCAAGGATTTCTTCTTGCGCGGCGCGCGACGCGCCACGGAATCGCCCTTCGAAAACGGCTCCCTGGTGCGGTGCTAACGACAACCACGGGAGATTTTGTTTAAAGGCTTCCTCGGGTTACTTCCCCCTTGTTTTTACAGGGTTTCGGCCACCCAGAGCCACCAGAGCCCCTGGGTACGTAGCCGGGCGGGTCCCGCCCAGGGACCTCGGCGGCGCATTTGGGGCCCGGGGCCTTACTTCCTTTGTTTTTTTTACCAGGTTTCGGCGGCCCAGAGCCACCAGAGCCCCAAGAGGTTGCAGGGAGCTCCAGGGGCTGCTCCCGCCTGGTGCCCCAGGTCTCCCACAGGCCTCCTAGAGGCCTCCAGGAGAGCTCCCCAAAGCTCACACTCTTGGTTTTCCAATAGTTTTTCCCACGTCTCTCCCATGCAGCCTGTTCTGCATCCCCACGCTGCGCGGCAGCCCCAGACACTGTTCCGCAGAGGCCGCCAAGACGGCCTTCGGGAACCCCCACGACGGCCCAAGAGTCCCCCAAGAGGACCCGCGAGAGCACCTCCAGAAGCAAAAATGGCTCCATTTTTGGAAAACGGTGCGTTTGTACGATGTTCACCGCTTCGGCGTCGACCGAGTCGAAGACGGCCCCAGGAGCCGACAAGAACACCCCAAAACGGCCACAGAGAGTTCCAAGAGGCCTCCAAGACGGCTTAAAAGGGGCCCTCCACTGTCCAGGAGGCCCCCAAGACTGTCCCAAAAGGCCCCGGGTGGCCTCTGGGCCCCCCCGAGACAGACCCACACAGCCCCGAAACGCCACCCGAGAGCCCCAGGAGGTCTCCAAACGTCCACGAGGGCCCGGAATCCACAAATTGTCGTTCCAACACGCCGACGATGGCTCCAAGACGGCCTCCGGGAGCCCCCACGACGGCCCAAGAGTCCCCCAAGAAGACTCCCAAGAGCACCTCCAACAAAAATGGCCCCATTCCTTCCAGAAAACGTACATTTTTACGATATTCGCAGCTTCGGCGTCGACCGCGTCGAAGACGGCCCCAGGAGCCGACCAGATCGCCCCAAGACGGCCAAAGAGAGTTACAAAAGGCCTCCAAGACGGCTCAAGAGGGACCCTCCAGGGGGCCCGAAAACGGGCCCAGAGGGCGCCGGGACAACTTCCCCACAGAGCCCGGGGTACCCCACCCGACATTTCGAGCCATCCTCCCCAAAAAGCACCCCGGAGACCCCAAGAAACCACGAAACAAAAACCCAAGCGGGCCCCACGGGGCCGCCAGGAGGCCCCAAGAGGCTCCCAAGAGCCCTCTCCCCAGACGCCCTGGAGTACTTTGGCCGACCCCGAAACTTCTGGACAACTCTCGGCATCCTGACGCCCCCAACGGGCCCCGGAACCGTCAAACATTTAGGACGAAACTCCGAGCCTATGGAAATTGTCCGGACCTCGGGGCCACTCCAGGGGTCATCGACATCGTCGTCGTAGTGGTGGCGGTCGTCGTGATCGTCGTGATCGTCGTCGTCGTCGTCATCGTCGTCGTCGTCTTCGTCGTCACTCTTCGCCGCCCCTGTCGTCGTCGACGTCGTCGTCGTCGTCGATAATCACACGAGCGAAAACGAGAGTAGCAAAACGTGGCGCAGCCGTGACTAGAACCTGGGCGCGCGAAGCGCGCGCGTGGTTCTAGTGTATATATGTATATATCGGAGCAGTAGCCTCCCGTGTGACTCTCTGGGGCGTCTTGGAAAATTCTTGGGGGCATGTGGGAGGCTTTGAGGGGCCTCGTGGGGGCCTCTGGGGGGCTTCTTGGAGGCCTCTTGGGGCCTCTCGGAGGGCCCTCGGGGGCATTTGGGGGGCTCGAGGGGCCATCTCGATTGGAAAGGCTCGAAATGTAAGTTCGAATTCGCCCTCTTAAGCTTTCTTGGAGCCCGCTTGGGGCCCTCCAGGGGCTGTCTTGGGCCGTCTTGGTGGGCCCCTGGGGTCTGTCTTTGGGCCCTCTTGGGCCATCGTGGGCCTTCTTGGAGGCATCATGTGCAGTCTTGGGACGATCTTGGGGGCCACTTGGCCCGTGGTGTTCGTTGCCAACACGACAAATTCAAATCTGCTGGCAATTTTCGCTATCCGAAGGAAGTGTGATGGTCTTGGCCTATCGGGGCCCTCCCGGCGATCCTCCGGAGTCGCTTCTGGGCTGTCTTGGGGCCTCGTGGGTCATCTTTAAGCCATCTTGGATCGTCGTGGGGTCACCCTGGGCCGTCATAGGCGCTCCCTTCGACTGTCTTGGCGCTCTGTCTGGGCCCTGTTGGGCTGTCTTGGGAGCTCCCGAGGACCCGGGGGGGGTGCTCCCTCCCCTAGAATGACATTTTGGACCCCAGGGGAGGGGGGGGGGGGAAAGGGGGAGGGGGACAGCCAAATGTTTCACACGCCTTGTCACCCCGGGCAAGCGGGGGTCGAGAGTCTATGTTTATGTATTTGTTTGCTCTCTTTTCGTCGAACACGTGGCGAAATCCGAGCCCTACACCCGCCTCCCATCGATTCGGGGGAATCGATGGCTGGTGTCGCCACCTGGAGGCGGAGCTGCAGGAGGAGAGGCGGAGGGCGTCGGCGGAGGCGAGCCGCGCCAGGGAGGCCGCCGACGCCAAGGCTCGGGGCAGGAAAAGCGCGAGCGGGAGCGTTCGGAGCTCCGCGCGGATGTTTTGGGTCGGCGCATGGTACCCCCCGGCGCGCCCCGCTCGCCATGGAGGGGGTGAGGACAGCGCGACCCACAGCCACGCCCGCCGGGACCCCCACTCCCGACCTGGTGGTCCAGGGGGTCCTGGGTGGTTGTTCGGGGCTCTCGGGGGCAAAACAACCACCCCACCCCTAGCCAGGACCCCCTGGACCACCAGGTCGGGAGTGGGGGTCCTGGCGGGTGTGGGGGTGGGTCGTGCTGTCCTCAGGAGGGTCCAGTGCCGATCTAGGAAAACCGCGCGGGGCTCCAGAGGTTTACGTTCATGCGATTTGTGTTGGTTTCCCTGTAGAGGTGCTCCTGGAGCGGCACATCACTCTGGCTGAGAAGGACAGCGCGTTCAGGGCTAGGGACCTCAGGGCGGCCGAGATGAAGCTGCGCGAGCAGGAGCAGATGCTCTGCCAAACGCACGAGCTCGAGCGTCGCCTCAGCTCGCTTGAGCCGAAGCTGAAGATGCTGGAGCAGCGTCAGGCTGGCCCCCAGACGGCCGCTCGGGACAGCGCGAGGGTGGCCGAGCTGGAACAGCAGCTGGCCCAGGCCACAGAACGGCAGGGCCAGCTGAAGGACGAGCTACTGGCAGCGGAGAAGAAGGTGAGCTCCACAAAGCGGGCTCAAGCGGCGCTGGCCGAGGAGAGGGTTAGGCAAGAGAAGCTCCAGCGGGAGGCCGTGAAGCCGTCCGCTGGCCGCCACGAGGCCCTCAGCGCCGGGAGCAAGCTGGAAGCAAAGCTGTTGGAGCTGGAGGGAAACTTCAGGAATCGGCAGGCGCTGCCGGCCGATGATCCTGACAAGGGGTCGTCGGCGACGGCGGAGACGTCGACGACTGCGGCCCTCCGCGTCGACGCCTTCACTGCGGGCGACGTTTCCAAGCTGCTGCAGGCGGATCTCGCGGAGAAGACGGCCGAGGCGGAGCCCGTCCAGTGCTCGTTCAGGGTGGAGAACATAGACCACCAGCAGCTCCAGGAGGACAGAAATCTGGAAGCCGCCTTCAAGGCCACGGTGAAGCAGATGCTGGCGACTGAAGCTGGGGGCCTGGTGTCCAAAGCTCACATCCGGTTTGTACCCACGGCTGGTTCGGTGGTGCAGGCCTTTGTGGAGCCGATCCCTGGACAGGACATGGGCGCCGTGACGCGGCGCCTTCGGTCCTCGCGGACCTTGCCGAAGAAAATGTCAGCGTACATTAGCGCGCTGGACGGCATTCAAAGGATATCATCTGGCCCCATCAAAGTGACGATCCTCTCTATCGTTTTCGGCCCCGAGTTCAAGATGTTGGATGGCGCCCGGCCGCTCTCTGTCGCAAGCATGTCTAAGACATCCCTGAGGGGCCCAGAGGCGCTGAAGGGCGGCGTGGACGGCACCAAAACGCAGGCCCTGGGCCGGGTTAGGACATGTGTAAAACCGTTCCAGGGCGTCAACGAACGCTCTCAGAGAGTTCTGGAGCGCTCCTGGAAGGCCGCGGCGTCCGATAGATCCCTCAGGACTTGCGGATCACAGAGGATTCTGGTTTGTCCTTGTCCTGGCCTCGACTTCAGGCTCCGTGGGAGCCCCTCGCCTCCAAGTTCTTCAAAAGGCTCGACCGCTCCGGCACCGGCTCCGTGGAGAGTTTCCAGGTCCTGCAGCTGTGGCCCCTGCTCTCGCGGCAGATGGACTGCTCCAACGCCGCCGCGCTGGCTGCCCAGCTGCTCCAGAGCACGTCGGTCAGCGGCCGTGAGTGGATGGCGCTGTTGAAGGCCCTCCACAGCATCGTCGGGCCGAAGCGGCTGCGCCGCAACCTACGCAGCGCCGAGGCCTACTACCGCGAGCTGCGCGCCAGCGCAGCGCCAGCCGCGGCGAGCGCAGGGGCTGGCCCGGCCGGCCTGCCGCTGGAGGCCAAGGAGGCTCCGAGCCCTCCCCCTCGTCCTCGCCACGAGCCAGAAGGGGTGCCGAGGGAGAGCCAGGGGAGGAAAGGGTACCGATGCCGCTGCTCGTCCTGGGGAGCCCTCGTCGCCACATCTGGCACTCTCCTCGACATGCTGGTCCGAACGCACCCCGGGAGACGTCAGGGGAGTAGCGGCATGGGCACTTGCCTCGCCGCGCTCGGCCTCTTGGGGCCCCTAGCCTGTGCCCGGGCCGCCAGAAAACGGCGCAGGATGAAGCCCCGTCCCGTGGGGGAGCGCTGGTGTGTGAGTGTGTGTGTGTGTGCCGGTTCTTTGTCCTCGCGGGCCGAAACAGGGATACAGAATGCCGCGCTGGAGCGGGGTCCGAAGGGGTCCAGTCATGGAACTATGCACAGGTGTCCTTCGGGGGCAACAACAAGGCGGGAGGAGGGTGGAGTGCTGGCTCAGAGGGAGACGCACCGACCCCCAATCGCCCATTCATCGCCGATGGGTGCCCCACCCCGCCCAGGAACGCACGCTCGTTTTCGCTATCGGGGGCCTGCCCCCGATCTATCATTGGCGACGTATCGCCGATGCTGGCCCACTCGGGCCTCTGGTGGCCGTTCGGGACGATGCGGGAGCCCCCGGACCGTTCTCGGCGAAGCGCGGCTGCTTGAGAGCCTCCCGAGGCTGGATCTCCTGCGAGAACCAACGAATCGCGCAGGGGGCCAGACCCAATCGCGCATGCCGCCAGTGCCGCACCGCACCTAGCGATCGGCAGGCCGCGCACCAAAGGTCATTCCTGCCGGGGTCACTCTGGCGCGTTGCCAGAAGCCTGCGGCGACGAGCCCAGGGGGGGAAGTGAGCCAGGGCGGGCCTTCTCAGAAAACGGGAAGGCCTCGGGCTTCTGAGAAGTTTTCTGAGCCTTCCCCGAAGGCACGGAGAACTTTCCAGAAAGCGGCAAGGCTTCTGAGAAGGCCTGCACCTTCTCTCTGCCCTCCAGGCGCAGTGCCGAAAAACAGGCCCTAGCCCGGGACCCGAGCACACGCCAGAGCCCGAGCCCACGCCCGTGCCCGAGCCTGAGCCCGAGCACGAGCCAAGCCCAAGCTCAGGCCCGAGGCCCGAGCCTGGGCCTGAGCCCGAGCCCGAGCCCGAACCCGCACCCGAGCCTTTGCACCCTCAGAACCCCAATTGGCTCGTGGCACCGTCTGCGCGCCGTGGCACCGGCCGCCGCTCGAGGGCAGGGCGGCGCGAAGGCCGACGCGGCGCGCGCGGCCCTCCGGGACGGAGCGCTGCAGGCCTGAGGCGCGTCGCGCAAGGGACCGCTTGCTCGAAGGCGGCGCCCGGACCCCCTCGAGAGGTCGCGGCCATGTGTCGATTCCAAGGAAAAAAGATTCAGACACAAATCATCGCTGACGCCCAGGAAATATTGGTAGTGGAGGGGAAAACGAAAATACAAGCTATGTAAGTGTGAAGGCCTTAGGGCGGGTGCCGCCGACCCAGACGGACGACGACAAGGTCGACGACCACGACGACAACGGCAACGACGAGCTGATGACCCTGCCACAGGCTCGGGACATGGGGCTGGAGGTGGTGGGAGGAAGGAGGACGAGGAGGAGGAGGAGGAGGAGGACCAGTGTAATCCCAAGAGTCATCAACGATATTGGAATGATCCCTCCCCCCAAGATCCCTCATCAGAGGCCCCTACAACGGTTCATTTCCACAGAGGACCTGCCTCGTTGGAAGACACCCTCGGTATTCCAACGCCACGGATAAACCTGATTGTTGCGTCTTGACGATCCAGAATCGGGCCAGAACGCCATTCCTGGGATTTCAACGCCGCGATTCATCGTAACTGTTGCGCCCTCATAGCTTCCAATCCTCACAGCACATCATTTGTGGTACTTCGATCATGGGAACCCGCGAAATGTTTGTAACTATTTGAAACGAATGTGCGTGGCGCTAAGGCTAGAGCAGCAGTTTGCAACATTAGCAGCGCTTGTTCTGTTTAAAACAGGAATGTGCGCGGCGCTGGGGCGAGAGCCATATTTTGAAAACGACCCGCCCTCAATCCGTGAAGATCTTGCACATGCTGAAAACGAATGTGCGCGGCGCTAAGGCGAGAGCCACATGTTGAAAACCACCCGCCCTCAATCCGTGAAACTCTTGCAAATGTTGAACACGAATGTGCGCGGCGCTAAGGCGAGAGCCACACTTTGAAAACCACCCGGTCTCAATCCGTGAAGCTCCTGCAAATGTTGAACATGAATGTGCGCGGCGCCAAGGCGAGAGCAACATTTTGAACACCACCCGCCCTATATCTGTGAAGCTGTTGTCAGCTTTTAGGAATCATGGTCATATACGGTGAGGAGGTCTCAGGCGAAACGCCCGGCCCGCTTGAAAAACTGGCCTCGGGGTGCGACAGGGAGAAATTAATTACAAGGAGACGGAATGGAGGAGGAGGCTGAGGAGGAGGAGGCGGAGGGGGACGGGGACGGGAGGGGGGAATGGGGAGGGGGACAAGAGAGAGGACGAGGGCGAGGAGGAGGAGGAGGAGGAGGAGGAGGAGGAGCAAGAGGAAAAGGAGGAGGAGGAGGCGGAGGAGGAGGAGCAGGAGGAGCAGGAGGAAGAGGAGGAAGAGGAGGAGGCAGAGGAGGAGGAGGAGGAGGAGGAGGCGGAGGAGGAGCAGGAGGATAACCGCCACCTGCGGGGACTCGCCCCCCCGCGCTCGGTGGGGGGGCCCCGGATCCCTGCGGGCGGCGACCAGCGCGGTGCCAGGCTGGCGATGGCGGCCGCGAAGCTTGCGACCACGACGGGAGGCTGCCCACCTTTTTGGCGGCCCGGCGTGGCGCCACCGCGGCCCGCCGCGCCGCACGGCGCCAGCGCCTGGCGGCTCTGACTGCCGCATTCAGGACCAACGCCAGCAACCATTCCAGCATCCACGCCGACGCCACCACCAGCACTGACATCGGCCTCAACAGCAGCATCCAGCACATCGTGATACAGATCAGCCACGCCTAACCTCAGGAGGTCATTCAGACCCCCCTCCTTTCGGCAAACTGATAAAACATCCCGCACCGGGAAGCGTTGACCCGGCACCCGCCGTCAGCAGGAGGAGGAGGAGGAGGAGGAGGAGGAGGAGGAGGAGGAGGAGGAGGAGGAGGAGGAGGGGGAGGAGGAGGAGTAGGAGGAGCAGGAGGAGGAGGAGGGAGGAGGAGGAGGAGGAGGAGGAGGAGGAGGAGGAGGAGGAGGAGGAGGAGGAGAGGAGGGGGGACGAGGAGTCCTCCCTCGCTTCTTTTTTTGCCTACTCCAGCATCAGCGCCAGCACCAGCGCCACAAGCAACCCCAGTAGCATCACCAGCATCGAAGGCAGCACCCAAGCCAGCATCAACGTCACCATCACCACCATCAGAATCTACCCCAGCTTCGACGCCAGCACCAACGCCAGCATCGACCCCCGCATGGACGCTAGCAGCACAGACAACCCCACCAACCACCCCAGCATTGAGGACAGCACCGACGTCAGTCGCGACGACAGCATCGACGGCACCATCAACGTCATCGCTCCCAGCATCGACCCAAGCGTCGACGCCAGCACCGACGCTCGCATCGATGCCAACAACGACAGTCGCATTAAGGAGACTCTCGACTCCAGCGTCGGAGTCCGCACCCAGGCCATCAACGACACCGTCGCCGACCCCTGCAGCGGAACCCCCCAACCACTACAGCACCTACGCCAACGTCGACACCAGCACAGAGTGCAGCACAGCCTTTTAGCGCAGGAGCCCTTACCGATGCTCGCACCTACGCCACCGCCCAACACGGCACGGACTCCAGCACCTGAGCCAGCGTCTATGCCATTACCAACGAGCCAGCATCGACGCCATCACCAGCTTCGACCCCAGCACCGACTCAATCATCGATGCCAGCATCGACCCCAGCATCGATTCCAGCATCACACACACGAGCATCGACTCCAGCATTGACGCCAGCATGGCTTCCGAGCCTGGCACGACTGTTTGCTCCCGACGCTCCACGCCGACGGACAAGCAGCAGCGCCAAGGCCGGGGGGTAGCAGACCCTGCCCGCCACAAGACGCCCCACCCAGCGATCAGCAGCAGCACCGCGTGTCCCGCGACCCGAACGGCAGCAGAGCAACGAGTACAGCCAGCATCATTGCCACCAAGGCGGGGACCGACGCACCACGTGGTGAACGGCCTGGGCCACTACAAGCACCCAACGCTGGCACAAACCCACCCGCCCTTGCCCTTGGGCCGTGCGGCTCACGGCGCCCCGAGGCGAGGGCGGGCCGTCCACGCAGTGACGAGCCTCAGGGCGTCAAAGGGGCTGCAAAGCGCCCTCGCCCCACCCAGCGACCAGCAGCAGCATCGCGTGCACAGCGACGAAGTGAATGGCCTGGGCCACAAGGCAACGACACACCGACACCCACATTCGTGAGACGCCGACGAGCACAACCGCATTGCCCAGGACACGCTGGGCTGCGCCGTGCTCACAGGTCAGTGTGCCCACGAGTTCCTCGCCAACACCCTGGACCGCGTGGGCAGCGACCTGGGGACTGCCCGGAGTGGCCGGAGAAGGAGGAGGAGGTGGAGGAGGTGGAGGAGGAGGAGGACGAGTTCCGCATAGGGCATTGGTTTGCGAGGCTTGGTTTGGTTGGGCGAGGTGCGCGCCGCCGCCCCGTCTCCCCCCTTCGTCCCTCGCCGGCCCCACCAACGGCCGAGCGCGCCATTTTCCCTAACGTCCCCCCTCGCTCGCCAGACGGTGAGGCGGGGGAGGCGTTGGCGGCGTTCGTAGGACTCTCATGCCGTCAGCGCTACAGCGTCGCAGCAGGAGGAGGAGGAGGAGGAGGAGGACCAGTGCGAACCCAAGATTCATCAACAATGTTGGAAGACACCCCCCTCCGAGTTCCCCCCCACTGATTGAATAGCCCCGTTGGACGACAACTCTCGGAATCCCAACACCCCGAATCAATCTGACTGTTGCGTCTAGACGATCCTCATGCGTGCCAGAACATTTCTGCGACTTTCACACCGCGAATCAAACAACCTGCTGCGCCCTGACAGTCCTAAATCGATCCGAAACATGGCTTCTGGTGCGCTGAGCATGGGAATCCGTGGAACTCTTGCAAGTGGTTGCAACGAACGCGCGCGGCACTACAGCGAGAGCCACATGTCAAAAGTGGCCGCCTGCAGTCCGTGAAACTCCTGCAATGTGTTTACGATGAGTGTGCGCGGCGCTAAAGCGGGGAACGTATTTTGAAAACGACCCGCCCTCACAACATCGGGGCAACTCTTAACGCGAACACGAGAGCCACATGTTGAAAACCAACCGCCCACCATTTGCGAATCAGTTGCATGTTTAGTTTCAGGATCATAGCTGGCAAAAAAAGTCGTACGCGGAACGCCCTGGCCGCCCCTCCTACTGGCCTCGGTGTGCGGGGCCAGTACAAGGGGAAGGAATGGATAGCGGGTTTCTTTGAGCTCAACGCCCGCACAGCCGACTGAAAAACCAACCAGCAGTGGTGGCTGGGGAACCACTGCTGGTAATGAGGGCGCCCTCACTGAATGAAGGGTACCTCCAGCAACCCCGTGGGCTAGGAGGCACTGACCACGCGACGGGCGATCGCCCCGTGGTCGGGCAAGAGAAAAACAGTCCAGTGCCTCAGCAGGGCATACGGCCCCAGATCGAACCTGCCACTCGGACACAAACACGAGAGAATGAAAGAGTGTGCAGCGCAGGGCAACTGTCAGGGAGGCCTAGCCTCACTCGTGCCCTGGGCCGCGGCGAGCAGACGTTGGGCCAGGGCTGCCCGGCGCAATGCACATTCACAGAAACATCGCGACGCCTGGGGTTCGGGTGGATGCCTCGGCAGAGGCCCCGCCAAGGGTACCCGGCGTGCTGCCTGGAGGGGGCCTCGGTGCAAACCTTCCCAAGTCCGTTGATCCTTTCGCCGTTGCTGTGATATCGGCACTTAATGCAGACAAAAAGGCGTTGGCCATCGCTGCAAGAAAACGCCAACATTCGATGGCGCAACGAGGCCAACGCGCCCTCATCCAACTTGCCCCTGCCCGCGCAGTGGCCAGGCCCTGGCTCGTCGACAGCCCTACAGCCTAGCAAACAAACTCTGCAACGACAACAGAGAGGGCTGACGGGCTGGCGGGGGGTACTCAGCCTCCGACAGGTCGAGCCTGGGCCACCCCAGACGGATTGTAGAGGCGAGCTTGCACACACCCTTGGCGATGTTAACCTGCTTATCGGCACCACCAAGGCCATACGCGTCAGCAGCATGTAACGAAAGAGCAGCTTTGGCGGCAGCGTCAGCATCGTTATTGCACTTGCGACAAAACCTCCCAAACGTGTCGATGCCCGACTCACTCTGCTGACCCGGTTAATTGGCACGAGACCATAAGCATTGGGGATAAAGAACATCGGCGTCGTCCCAACAGGCGCCCACCACCATCTCGCCCACGAGCTCAACCACGACAAACGCAGAGGTATCCCAGGGGCGGCGTTGCCCCAGTGAAGGGGAGCATCCCACCATGCGTCGTAATCCAGCCACCGGAAAGACGTTGGACTCCGCGGCCAACCGCCGGAACATCACAAAGCGTACTGGGCATGTATTGTCAAGGGAGATTAGCACAAGGTAAAAACAGCACAAAGTAAAATCAGTGTTGCCCGGGACGAGCTGCCCGAACTCACCTCTGGCGCCGCTTGGACTTAGCCTGCGACGCCCCGCGATGGGATTCGTCATGGCACAGTTGGCAGCGCCCTCCCGCTTTACAGCCACCTTTCGAGAAGTAGCGGATTCAGACCACCTCGCAGGGGCAGGCAGGCACATCGGTGTCGGGCAAGGCGGCGGCCGAGCAGGCCTCGGAAGGCTTCGCAGCGGAAGGCTGGGAAGCTGAGCCGGCAACGGGGCCTCCTGAGCTAGACGTGGCTGCGCCTGCTATAGGGCTCTCGTCCAGGGAGTCCAAGGCCTCCGCCTCGTCCACGGACTCGTCGTCGTCCTCCTCCTCGGCCCTGCCGTGCCATCGATCGCTCAATATCTGCCATGACCGATTCCGCCTCGAGGATGTCGCGCTCGCGCTCCGCGGCGAAATCCACCTGGGGCCATGGCTGGGAGCGCGTCCAGCGTTCCGGCCTGTACCCGTAGAGCTCATCCATGTCGATAGCAGCAAGAGCCTCGGGCGAGGGGGCCATAGTCGAACCAGACGACGTTGACGAGATCCAAGGCGATGGCCTCGGGCTCGTAGTCACCGTCCTCGGGGTGAGCACGTGAATCATCGCGGCGGACCTCGACCGCGACCCTGCCGTTAGGCGCGTGGCCGGCCGCCCACCCAAGCCGCCAATGGAGGGCCCGGTCTCTCTGGCTCGCGAGCCCGAGTGCGCCCGCGAATGCGCCAATCAGCCCCCCGCATTCCAGGCGAGCCCCCCCGTTCATATCGCCGCCGATCAGGCAGTCGCTGCCGACAAGGTGCGAGAAAGACTGACAGTCTGCATACGGCAGAGTGCCATTCCCCATCAATGCATGAATGAGGTGATTGCGCTGAGAGCGCGTCAGGCGCGCAACGCATAAGAGAATCAAATCCCCGATGAGGCGCAAAGCCGCTGCGAGAGATGCAGCGAAGGCGATTGCAAACATGACGGCGCACGTCGGAGCGCATGCAGCAGCAAGTGCGGCGAGAGCCCCCCTCGCCAACAGCGCGTCCGTCGCCTTGCGAAGCCTCCGCGGACTTACTGGGTCAGCTGCGCGACGGTGACCCCCACAGCGAGCTGTCGATGCACGACTCATCGAGATCTTTGTGAGCGGCCACCTTCACAACATCCGAAATCCCATTGCCCTCGCGGGCGTTCGCTTCCAACATGACACCACTGTGCATGCGCTTCCCCGGAAGCCCATCACCAGACGGGAGGTTAGAGTGCTTGGGCGCATTCAAGCAATCAGAGCGCAGAGCGGAGGGAGATTTGGCCATCTTACCGGCCATCCCGCGAGCTAAATATTCATCAGCCTGTGCCGTCTGCGGGCGCTGAGCCCATGCGGGCCCCATGACTTCCCCTAGGGGTAGCCCCTGGTCATCGTGCGTCGCGATGGCCCACGAGGCACGACTGAGCTCGCGAATTATGCGCCTGCGACAAGACCCGTCGAGGAAAAGCGAGCCCCAGACGGAACCCCCTCGGGGGGACTCGGGCCCCCCGGGCCCCCCCGGCGGATCGCAGCGCCAACGGAACACCACATTGCCTTCGAGGCGCGGCCTGGGCATGCGGTCGGCGGGATGCGCGAGAGCCCGAAAGCGCAAGAAAAGGGCCGAGTAGTCGTCCGCCTTAGTGTCCAAAGCGGCGGCAATGATAGAATCCTCAGCGGCGCTCGCTCTCTGGTCGGCCACGCGGGGGCAGACCCGAAGGCGGTGGTGCAAAGAGTCAGGCGCGCCACAGTGGACGCACTTAGGGCTGACCTGGTAGCCGCGCGCCAGAGCGCTGTCTGGGGCCCAGATGGCGCTGCATGCCAACGCTCTGACCATGCCGCGGTCACTCGGAGAAAAGGCTTTGGACGAAAGCGCCGCTCTAGTCGCGTCTCAACGCAGCCGGCCCTTAGAATTCCACTTGCCCCGAGGTTTATCTCGAGCGATCTCGTCATTCCATCTCTACAGAGACTCGCCAGCAAGGCAGGGGAGGTCACACACAGGGGAATAATGTAGCCGCGATCATCGACGATGGTCAAGTCGTTGGTCATGCGCCAGCCTAACCTAACCAGGCAAAGCCGAAGAGCGAGGAAATAGGACCGCCGACGAGACCCCAAGTGCGTTTGTCCTGACCCCAGACGGCGGCCCAAGAGTCACGCAGCTCTTTGCGGGAGAGAGAATGCTCACAGGTTCTAGTCTGGGCAAGCCGCGCTTCTCTGCCCCGCCTGGGGACTGGCGCACAAGCGGCCCCCCAGGTGGGGTCATCAGCAAGAATGCAGCACGCAGTCAGGCTGCGTCCCTGAGAGAAGGGCCGAACAGTAAAGACAGCCTGTCTCTTCATCAATATCAGATCGCTGTCAGAAGCTCCCACAATCTCAGCCCTATGAGAGCCGCCAGCCAGGGGGCCAGGCGGAAACACAACAAACAACTGCGGCTTTTTCGCCACATGACCCCCGACAGTTTCCTGGGCCTTTTGGCCGTACGGCATAAGGCCGCCAGTCTCGACTTGAGCTTGCTGCCCCTACCAGCAGCGCCGATGGACTTGCCAGCGGTGTAGTCCACACCTAAATTGACTGTGGGATCCTTTACTTTTCCAGCCAGGCTTTCAAGCTGCTTGCCAACTTCTAAGGCGACCGTACGGCAGAAGGAGACCGATGCTGCAACCCATCGTCACCGCGACAGCCGTATGCAGGGCCTGCGAACTCGCAACAGCCGCAGAGATAGCACGTTGGCGAGGGCCAAGCAGCAGAAATACCATAACCGTATATTTAAATGTCCAGGCCACATCTAGGTTGCAACGGAACCGAGTCAAACGCGTCAAGTCCCTTTGCCCGAATGAGAGTGGCGGCCATGTTACAACCAGCCACCACTCCCTTATCAACAAAAGAGGGGCCCATAATGATGCCGCCCAAGGACAGAAGCCGACCGCAGCGGAAGGCAAGCATGCACAGGCGCGCAATGGGCTGCGGGAAGCCGCGACGTCGACACTTAGCGAGGAGCATGTCAAGGTCGATCGTTTCATAGTATTTAAGCATGTCATAGAAAACACTGCACGACACTTCTTTCGCAGCGGTTCCGTGCTCAGCAAGGACTGACTGTCTCCAGACAGCGTCCGAAGCACCCCGATTCCCGCCATCAGCCCAGTACCGACGGGGGTGCCCTAGCCCCCAGGTAAGGGCTTGGCGGCGCCGAAGCCTCCTCCACACCCTGTGCCAGGAGCAGAACACCCCAATCGGCCGGTAGCCAGCAGTGGGCTTCGAAAGAAGGGCAAGCAGAACGGCCGAGATCTGCTCAGGCAACTCCCCAAGCGCCTTCATAACTTCAAAAATAGTGGCGAGCGCGTCTAGCGCGTCATCGCACAAATACTGATAGTGCCTGCAGTTGAAACCATCGTAGGCGACAGCAGATCCCTGTTTGCATTTCTTAGAGACGGCCATGATTTCATCGGCCGAGACCCTCGGCAGGGGGGGGGGGGGGGCAGAGACGGGGGGCCGCTGGAGGCCCCAGTGCCCTGGCCCCAAAAGGCAGCGAATTTAAAGCCTTCCGAAGCCAAAAGAGCGAGAGGGTCGGACGCGACAGATCCATCCGCCGAGAGGGTTGTCGTGGGTCGCTTGGAGGTGGGGCCCCTCGTACACGAGCGTGCGCGCTTAGCCCCCTCATCCGAACCTTCGGTGGTCCAGGCCTTCCAACTCTGTCGCGACCTCTTGTTGGCGGCGGTGTGAGCGTTGCTCACAGCTTCGCCGAGTCTGGTGCACAAATTCTCGTCCTTGAACGGATCGCCGAACAAATTAAACGAGGATGGGCCACGATGCGCGCAACCTCAGCGAAGAGAGGCTGGAGAGCAGCAGAACTCTGGATGTGCGCGGGAGGCTCCTGAAGCAACTTCGTCAACGCCTCGACCTGCGCGCCTTCGCCATGGTTCGAGACCAGGAGCGAAACTAAGGCACGATATTGGACGCTGAGTCACCGCGCTGCTTGGTGCTCAGGATCTCGAATAGCGTGATCACGCCCCACCGGCTTCTTCCAAACCAGCTGGGGGCCCTCGGACTTCGAACCAAGGACAGGAACAGACTTGCCGAAAATCGGGATGAGTTCAAACTCAGCCTTGTCAGCCCAGACAGCATGAGCAGGCGAGAGCAGCGACGATGCGCCCCTGGCGTCACCTGAAGCAGCACAACGGGAGAGGCCTGGTCAGCAAGCTCGCGAGCGCGAGACCAACCAGGAGGACCACATCGCGGCCCAAAAACCGCAGCGGCAGGAAGAGGAGGAGGCACCCTGAAACTGAGACCTCTTAGCCTCCCGAAAGACGCATGGATAACCACCGGAACAGGCCTGTGCGAGCTCAACGCGGCGTCTTGGATGCCCCCGCGCTCTTCGCGGTTTTCCCCGAGGTCCAGGGGCGACGGGGGGCCCCCGCCAAAGTGAGCGTGGCCGCCCGCCACCACCTGTAAACCGATCAGCTTCTCAACAAACCTCGAGCTGGCCAGTGCCCCTGGGTCCGCGTTGAAATCGCCCCCGTTGCAACAAGGCAGGGGGAACGAATGCATGCGTTCACTGGTGCATGCTACGAGGTCAATGTTCATCTCAGACGCCTCCCGAATTGTGAAGGTAGACCGAGCATATAACAAAACGCCCCCCGCGAGGTAGGTGAGCGATGGCCGCCGCGAAGCGGCCGTTAGCCCCCCCCCCCCCCCCCCTGGGGGTTCATGCAAGCCAGGGAAGTCTCTGGCAAGGATGCGCGTGCCAGAGGACGAGGGGCCCGCGGCCGCGCCGAGGGCCGAGGTCAAGATGCCGTTCCACCCTTGGCGCGCACACCAAACCGACGCCCGCTCCAGCTCCTCAGCGCCTCGCACCATATGCTCTTGGCACAAGAAGATGTGAGCAGGAGTTTGGGCCATGGGATCCTGCATGGTCGACCAGCGGTTGCAATTGACCGAGTGGATGCAGAGTTCCAGGTTGTCCAGGGGGCCAGGGCCAAGGCTTCCAGGAGCCTCCAGAACGCCCGAGGAAACATAATGCACCAGGGCGTCCGAAGGGCCGCTGAAGAACTCGACGGGACTACACGGCTGTAAATCCACAAGCACAGGGTATCCTTCACAGGGATTGGCGAAACCAAAAAATTGCGCCTCACAGGGGGCAGCACTGTGCACCAGTCGAGAGAAGGAGGCGAAGCATGACGCCAACGCACGTTTGGCTCGCCACAACGCGCGCTTAACCGCACCTCGGAGAGAAGAATGAGACCTCTTAAAACTGACGGCCGCTTGGCATTAGGAGGGGTCCAGCGGGCGCGCCGACAGGCAACGTATTTCAAATTGCACGCAGAGGTCGAGAAAGCGGCCGAGCTGGCCGCCTCAACGCACTCAGCCTCGGAAGCGGGGTCCTCCCGCGGAGGTTGCGTCCTGCATGCCAGGGTTTCCGAGCAGTTTCGAGCAAGCGGTGGCGACTGCTCAAGGCGGCCCCCAGGGCTCCTATACGTTCCCAGAAGGCCCACCATGCAAGATAAGCAGTCACCCTCGGAAGACGCCCACGTCCTGAAATATTGAGACTTCGAAGCACGCTGCGCCAGCGAGAGAGCAAAAGCCCACGCCGTCATCTGCCCGCTGGCGACCTCGACGAGCACGAGCATCTCTTGGAAGTGCTGAAAGTAGAACGTCGCTGCCTCCGAAATGTGTGCCCCCGGCCAATCCTCGAGCGCTGGCAGGGGGCGCAACTTGTTCAGACTGGCCTTGAATGATCTTGGCTGCCCTGGCGCGAAGAGCGGCCGAGGCGCCTGCGTCTGAGTCTCCACCCCCAGGCAAGCAAACATCAGGATCCTCCTGAGGGTGTCCAGGAACGCTGGTACCCTGAGCCTCTTCACCATCGCCAGGCGCAGCGGCAGCTTCAGGCTCGGCGTCCTTCCTCTTCTTGGCAAGGCGCCCGGGGTGATCCTTATGCGACTCCATGATAGTGTTGGCCGTCTCCTTGGCCTGTGGGAAAAGCTTTTGAGCCAGCTCTTGGATGCCATCGCGCAGCTGCTTGCCCCTCGCCTCGAGCTCCTCTTGGTCAGCCTGGGACAGCTCATAATCCTCGATGCCAACCAGCAACTCCGAGGGGTCGATGTCCAGCTGCTGCCAGAAAGTGCCGTCCATGATCGCAGCCAGGGAGCAAGGCGCTGACTTGGCCTCGCCGTCCTTCTGGCGGGACTGGGTCGTCTGCTCATGCAGGGCTGCGACCAGACGGCGGTGCTCAGCCTCAGCCACCTCCCCTCCACCTCTTCAGTGAGCTTGGTGACCAGGCCCTTCTGCTCGACCATCTGCAGCGACCACTCCTCGAAACGCTGCACAGCACCGTGAAGCTTGCGTTCGAGGCCGCGAAGCTTACTGTGGGCCATGGACACCTGGTGCTGCAGCGTAGGCTCTTTCGCGGCGGGCGGGGGCTTGGCCAGCTCACGGTGCCTCGCTGCGCCCAGCGCCTCACCCGACTTGGCCAGCAGCTCCGCCAGCGCCGCATGCTCTTCGCGGGAGAGAGCATTGGCGGGAGCGCGAGCTTGGGCCGCAGGAGCTGCACCACCCTTGCCACCTCCACTGCCGGCCAGAGCAAAGCAACCAGGCGGACCAGAGGACGCGAAGGGCGAGAAGGGGCTGGCACCGCCATCGGGACCATTCGACCGTATTCCACCATGTGCCCCAAACGTGGGAAGTCAGCACGGCTGGATCGGGGTCCACTCGGTGCCGCAGTGCTTGCAGCGCCTCCAGCGCATCTCTTTCTTCATGCAGCCGCAGGACCCGCAGGTCCAAAGGGCTGGAGGGGCGGGTCCTTGGAGTCCAAGAAAACGCGCAGCCCAAGGTGGAGGAGCAAAAGAGCCACCAGCGTACAGCGCGAGCTCCTTCTCGAGGTCGGCAGTAGGCGGGGAACGCTGGCCTCCTTTGCCTTGCTTGCCGACATCTCCAGCACCAGGCTTGCCCCTACCGCTTTTCCCCATCGCGGCGGAATGAGTTGAAAAAAGGCGAAAGGGATCGGCCCTCAACCGAAGCTTGATGACTCGCAGGCACAAAGTGCCGTTTTGAATCGTTGTACCTGCAACGCTCAATGGCTTGAGCGCAAACCGGCTGAAATGGAAAACGGGGGAAGGGGGAAAAGGAGGAGGAGAAGGAGGAGGAGGAGGAGGAGGAGGAGAAAGAGGAGGAGAAAGAGGAGGAGGAAAAGGAGTCAAAACAGCAAGACGCTGAACCAACGAAGAACGGGGAGGAGGAGGAGGAGGAGGAGGAGGAGGAGGAGGAGGAACAGGAGGAAGAGGATTATGAGAGAGGAAGGGGAGGAGAAAAGGAGGAAGTGGAGGAGGAGGAGGAGGGGAAGAGGAGAAACGCAGGAAAAGGAGAGGGAACGAGGAGGAGGAGGAGGAGGAGGGAACGAGGAGGAGGGGAGGAGGAGGAGGAGAAAGAAAAAGATGAGGGGAGGAGATGAAGTAGGACAATGAGAAAGAGAAGGAGGAGGAGGAGAAGCAGGAGGAGGAGGGAGTAGGAGGAGAGGAGATGAAGAAGGACAAGGAACAAGAGGAGGAGAAGGGGGAGGAGGAGGAGGAGGAGGAGGAGGGGAGAGGAAGAGGGGGGGAGGAGAGTAATGGGGAGGGAGGGAGGAGGAGGAGGAGGAGGAGGAATAAGAAGAAGAATAATCAGAAGAAGAAGAGGAGGAGGAGGAGAAGGAGGAGGAGGAGAAGGAGGAGGAGGGGAGGGAGGATAATATGAATATGGAGGAAGAATATGATGCTGATGAGGAGGAGGAAGAAGAGGAGGAGAAGGACGAGGAGGAGAAGGAGGGCGAGGATAACCAGGAGCAGGAGGAGGAGGAGGAGGAGGAGGAGGGTGAGGAGCAGAAGTAGTAGGAGGAGGAAAAGGAGGAAGAGGAGGAGGAACAGGAAGAGGAGGATGAGGAAAACAAAGGACGGGGGGAGAAAGAGGAAAAGGAGGAGGAAAAGGAAGAGCAGGAGGAGGAGGAGGAGGAGGAGGAGAAGAAAGAGGAGGAGGATAAAGCGGAGAAGCATAATGAACAGAAGGATGATGATGATGATGATGATGATGATGATGATGATGATGATGATGATGATGATGATGATGATGATGATGATGATGATGGTGATGGTGATGGTGATGGTGATGATGATGATGATGCTGATGATGATGATGATGGTGATGGTGATGGTGATGGTGATGGTGATGGTGATGGTGATGTGATGGTGGTGATGGTGATGGTGATGGTGATGATGGATGATGATGTGATGATGATGATGATGATGATGATGAGATGATGATGATGATGAATGATGATGATGATGATGATGGTGATGGTGATGGTGATGGTGATGTGATGAGGAGGGAGGAGGAGGAGGAGGAGGAGGAGGAGGAGGAGGAGGAGGAGGAGGAGGAGGAGGAGGAGGGAGGAGGAGGAGGAGGAGGAGGAGGAGGAGGAGGAGGAGGAGGAGGAGGAGGAGGAGGAGGAGGAGGAGGAAGAGGAGGAGGAGGAGGAGGAGGAGGAAGAGGAGGAGGAATAGAGCGTTCTGTCTCCTCGGGGGTGGCTGGGGGCCGGAGCCCGGGCTGGGGCCAGGGCCGAGGTCAAGGCTGGGGCTGCGGCCAGGCCCAGGGCTGGGGTCCGGGCCGAGACGGGGGGCTGGATCCTGCGCGTGGTCAGGGGGCTGGTGGGGCCCCTTACTGCGGCCGGGACTGGGGCTGGGGCCAGGGCAGGAGCCGGGGCCAAGCCCAGGTCCTGAGCTCCACTGTCGGCAGAGAGACCATACCCCCGTTCCGTTGCCTGCAAGGGGGACAGCACGGGGTGGCCCCGGGACCCTCCCAAGGACAACCCCCCGAGACGGGTTCCCCCCCTTCCCCGGGCCAGGCGGGAAGGGACACAAGGAAGGGGCTTCCCTTTCGACGTAATTACGACGTTGTTCAATACCCCCTTTTTCGATTTCCCTTACGGCGACGACGACGACGACGACGACGACGACGACGACGACCACGACGACTCAGAGGAGGCTGGCGTACTTCGGTTTGGATCAGGCTGGCCTCGCGCCAAAGAGCCTCTTTCACACGCCGACTGGGTCGACGGAATTGTATCTCCCTGAGCAAATTTACATGTGTCGGGGAACAAATCATGGCATAAACGTAGTTTTTCGGAGGTGAGCGCTGATTTCCCAGATCGGCGCTGGACCCCCTGGCGCTTCTGGCGCCGCCCCTGAGGCGCGAGGGAGGTCCAGCGCCGATCCAAAAACCGCGCGGACTGTCGAAAGTTCCTGTTTATGTCCGTATATGTTCCCCGAGCGTGCGGCGTTCCGGAAAGCGCCCCGCCTTTGACCCCGGTTTCAAGGATCGAAGACGATGTCATGTTTGCCTCGGCGGAAGGCGGTGGGCGGTGGAAGAAGTACAACAAGGTTGCCTCCGCTGGCGGAAGGCTGGCGGAAGCCGGCGGAAGTAAACATATGCTTCCTAAGAGATGGCAAGGTGTTTAGGTTCAGGGTTTTTGGAACCCGCCGTGTATCCGCAGAGGGCGTCTGTGATCCACCATCGTGCCAGGCCAGGGCGATCCTGGGGCCCACAGGATGGTGCACGCCCAGACCTGCTCGCGTCGTAAACAAGAATTACGATAGGAGGTTCTCGGCCGTTTTCGGCTTCAGGGGGCCCTCGCCAGGCCCCAGGAAAGTCAAAAAACGACCCGAGGTGGAAAACTGGGCGAGAGGGTAGGGATTTCCGCATTGAAAGTAGCCTGGCGAAGGACCCACCCATATGCAGTTGTGAATACCGCAAATATGAATATCGTTTTCGGTGGCGCTACCTCTGGGTATGGGGAACCGCATGCGGACACCCCCACTGGGGCCTTCGGTGGAGCTCCTTATGGGGCCACGAAACGCTGCCCTGGGTGGGGGAACCGCATGCGGACACCGCCACTGGGGCCTTCGGTGGAGCTCCCTATGGGGCCACGAAACGTTGCCCTGGGTGGGGGAAACGCATGCGGACAACCCCACTGGGGCCTTCGGTGGAGCTCCCTGTGGGGCCACGAAACGCTGCCCTGGGTGGGGGAACCGCATGCGGACACCCCCACTGGGGCCTTCGGTGGAGCTTCCTATGGGGCCACGAAACGCTGCCCTGGGTGGGGAACCGCATGCGCCCCCCCCACTGGGACCTTTGGCGGAGCTCCCCATGGGGCCACGAAGCGCTGCCCTGGGTGAGGGAACCGCATGCGCCCCCCCCCACTGGGGCCTTCGGTGGAGCTCCCTATGGGGCTCCCTATGGGGCCACGAAACGCTGCCCTGGGTGGGGGAACCGCATGCGGCCACACGCCCCACTGGGGCCTTCGGTGGAGCTCCCTATGGGGCCACGAAACGCTGCCCTGGGTGGGGGAACCGCATGCGCCCACCCCCACTGGGGCCTTCGGTGGAGCTCCCTATGGGGCCACGAAACGCTGCCCTGGGTGGGGGAACCGCATGCGCCCACCCCCACTGGGGCCTTCGGTGGGGCCTATCTGGGTGGGGGAACCGCATGCGCCCACCCCCACTGGGGCCTTCGGTGGAGGGCCACGAAGCGCTGCCCTGGGTGGGGGAACCGCATGCGCCCACCCCCATTGGGACCTTCGGTGGAGCTCCCTGTGGGGCCACGAAACGCTACCCTGGGTAGGGGGAACCGCATGCGCCCACCCCCACTGGGACCTTCGGTGGAGCTCCCTATGGGGCCACGAAGCGCTGCCCTGGGTGGGGGAACCGCATGCGCCCACCCCCACTTGGGCCTTCGGTGGAGCTCCCTGTGGGGCCACGAAGCGCTGCCCTGGGTGAGGGAACCGCATGCGCCCACCCCCACTGGGGCCTTCGGTGGAGCTCCCTATGGGGCCACGAAGCGCTGCCCTGGGTGAGGGAACCGCATGCGCCCACCCCCACTGGGGCCTTCGGTGGAGCTCCCTATGGGGCCACGAAGCGTTGTCCTGGGCGGGGGAGACGCATGCGAAAACCCCTACTGGGACCTTCGGTGGAGCTCCCGATGGGACCACGAATATTTGAAATGATGATGTTGATGATGATGACGATGACGATGACGACGACGACGACGAAGACGATGATGATGATGATGATGATGATGATGATGATGGTGATGGTGATGGTGATGGTGATGGTGTTGGTGATGATGATGATGATGATGATGATGATGATGATGATGATGATGATGATGGTGGTGGTGGTGGGAGGAGGGAGGAGGGGGAGGAGGGCGGGAAGGAAGGAACGCGGGGCGCTGTCTCTTCAAAACGAGGACCCAACACCACAGGATGGTTGGGAAAAATCAGGGCATGGCATGACCGGGTCGTCGACTCAGCCAGGAGGACGTATACACCATGCTGGGGCTCAGGGTGGCGCTGGCCAGGCACGGCGGTGGTCTGTAGATGCTTGTCGCGCATTTTTTCGTTTGCCGAGGAGCAACACGCTGCATACGCATCGGTTTTCCGAGGTTCGCCCGGATTTCCTGGATCGGCGCTGGACCCCTCTTGCGTCGCCTCCCGCGCCCCCCCTGGCGCGCTTTGCGCGCCAGGGGATGGAAGTTCCAGCGCCGACTCGAGAGATCCGCGCAGACCTCCGATGGTTTATGCTTGCGCCGTCGCCTGCTCTTCTGTGTTGTTTTTACCATTGCGACCCTTCAGTCGCCACATGTAGGTTCTGCCTTTGAAAGGTGTCTACAACGCGTTCCCTGCGGGCGCCAGCGCCAGGAATACGGCATATGTCGCACCCCGAAAATTGCGAGTCTTGTTCATCGTCCTCATGATCATCATCGTCCCTCTCGTTCCCGTTGTCCCCCTCCCTCTTTTCCTACTGATCCTCGTCCTCCTCCATTTTTCTCCGCATCTCGTATCCCTTCTCTTGCTTCGCCCTCTACGCCTTTCCACTTCGTCTGCGTCCTCGTCCTCATCCCCTCTCACTTCTCACGCATACTCGTTGTTTGTCTTCGCTCACCTCTACATGTGCTCTTTTCTCTCATGCCGTACGCGTTCCCTGGGTCCGACTACTCACATCACTCTACATCTTCTGATGTCTCGCTATTGCTGCAGCGAGCGGATGTAGCGAACGGATGTAGCGACACAGTATCAGGAGACGCCATTGCAGCTAGCTGCCCACTACGAAACTTATTCATCTTGGGCAGTGACGACTACAGCGACGCCACGCGGGCCCTTTTCCACCCGCAGACTCCTAGCACGATCCTCTCTGGCCTGGACGGGCAGGAGGACTTTCTGGAGCCGCGGTGCTATTCCAGGGTGCTCCTTGCCAGCTGCACGATGCGGGCGTGCCCCCCCCCCCAAGGCGGATGTGCCCGCAGCTTGTACAGGGGCGCGGGAAGCTGAGTGGCGACAATCATGTTCCGGAATTCGCCCTGTTGTAGAATGAAAGGCGTATTATAACAATTTCAGGATCAAATCACGACTTTTGCCATCTCACAAGAGAGATCTCACTCACGCTGACTATCACTCCATTCGGAGTTTCTTTCCGCATGAAATGACAAGAACGAAATCCCTTCCAAGCGACGTCTCACCGTTTTGGCTGGACATGCCTTGTGCATAATATACTTTCGGAACGGGGACGCATTCGCATGTTGTAAGTCAATGTCATGGTCACTGGGCACACCACTCTGCACTCCCAGAAATTCCCAGGGAAAGTGTTCCCCTCGTGCCTGGCGTACCCGTGCCTGGCGTACTCACTCGTACTCATCGTCATCTTTTCATGCTCATCATCCTTCCCTCCTGCTCGATTCGATTCCTGCTCCTCATCCCTTTTGCCCCCCTCCTCCTCTTCCTCATCCTCCTCCTCGTCGTCCTCCGTGTTTTTGTATGTCTGTTTCCCATGCGCAGTCGAACGTGTTTCGATTCCTCCTCCTCCTCCTCCTCCTCCTCCTCCTGTGTTTGCTCTCACCCTGTTTTCGACCTGCCCGCATACTCACATCAATGACCTCCACCTCTTCGTCATCTATCGAATTTTTCGTCCTCTTCCTCCTCCAGCCCGTCGTCCTCGACCTCGACCTTTTCCTTGTCGTCGTCGTCGTCGTCGTCGTCGTCGTCGTCGTCATTTTTCCCGGAAAGGGCTCAGGCCCAGGGTTCTCTTTTAGTAGGTAAACCTGTCCCCCGGTGCCAACTTGAGGGAGGCCGGCGAATTTTTTCCCTGATAAATAACGAGGTCGAAGGAGGCCGGCGAATTAAAATTTGAGGATGTCTCGAGCGAAACGCTTGTTCCCGGAAAGGGCTCAGGCCCAGGGTTCTCTTTTAGTAGGTAAACCTGTCCCCCGGTGCCAACTTGAGGGAGGCTTTTTTTTGATAAATTAGGCCGGCGAATTAAAATTTGAGGATGTCTCGAGCGAAACGCTTGTTTTTGAAATCCCGATCGATAAATCACAGGGTGCGGGCCACTTTTTCGTGTGTTGAGGATGTCTCGAGCGAAACGCTTGCTCCGCAGAGTTTGCCGAGGATGTCTCGAGCGAAACGCTTGTTTTGCAGAGCCGACCGCGACGCGGAAAAGCGCCCCGCGCGAAGGAATTTCGATGATGTTTCGACTAATTTGTTTGTTTTTGTACGATTTCCTGGAATTTTGGCAGGATGTCTCGAGCGAAATGCACGACCCCACCCTAGCACGACCATACCCCAGCACGACCACACCCCAGCACGACCCGACCCCAGCACGACCCTACCCCAGCAAGACCACACCCCAGCACGACCACACCCCAGCACGACCTCACCACAGCACGACCACACCCCAGCACGACCACGCCCCAGCACGACCACCCCAGCACCCACCACGCCCCAGCACGCCCCAGCACGCCCCAGCACGACAGCACGCCCCAGCACGACCACCCCCCAGCACGACCACCCCCCCAGCACGACCACCCCCCAGCACGACCACACCCCAGCACGACCACACCCCAGCACGACCACAACCCAGCACGACCACACCCCAGCACGACCACACCCCAGCACGACCACACCCCAGCACGACCACACCCCAGCACGACCCGATCGATAAATCACAGGGTGCGGAGCACCCCAGCACGAACCCACCCCAGCACGACCCCACCCCAGCACGACCCCACCCCAGCACGACCACGCCCCAGCATGACCACACCCCAGCACGACCACACCCCAGCACGACCACTCCCCAGCACGACCCCACCCCAGCACGACCCCACCCTAGCACGACCACACCCCAGCACGACCACACCCCAGCACGACCCCACCCCAGCACGATCACACCCCAGCACGACCCCACCCCAGCAAGACCACACCCCAGCACGACCGCACCCCAGCACGACCTTACCACAGCACGACCACACCCCAGCACGACCACGCCCCAGCACGACCACGCCCCAGCACGACCACGCCCCAGCACGACCACGCCCCAGCACGACCACGCCCCAGCACGACCACCCCCCAGCACGACCACCCCCCCAGCACGACCACCCCCCAGCACGACCACCCCCCAGCACGACCACACCCCAGCACGACCACTCCCCAGCACGACCACACCGCCTTGGTTGAGTGGTTGCCTGTCGTCGTGGAATGTTTCGTGGGGTGTCTCGTGGAATGTTTCGCGGGGTGTCTCGTGAAATGTTTCGTGAGGTGTCTCGTGGAATGTTTCGTGAGGTGTCTCGTGGGCTGTTTCGTGAGGTGTCTCGTGGGATGTTTCGTGAGGTGTTGCCCAGTTGGGTATCATGAAAACGTGTCCATGCTCCACATGTCTATATCCCTTTCCGGGTTCGTGGGTCCATCATGTTTTTGAAATCCCGATCGATAAATCACAGGGTGCGGGCCACTTTTTCGTGTGTTGAGGATGTCTCGAGCGAAACGCTTGCTCCGCAGAGTTTGCCGAGGATGTCTCGAGCGAAACGCTTGTTTTGCAGAGCCGACCGCGACGCGGAAAAGCGCCCCGCGCGAAGGAATTTCGATGATGTCTCGACTAATTCGTTTGTTTTTGTACGATTTCCTGGAATTTTGGCAGGATGTCTCGAGCGAAATGCACGACCCCACCCTAGCACGACCATACCCCAGCACGACCACACCCCAGCACGACCAGACCCCAGCACGACCCCACCCCAGCACGACCCCACCCCAGCACGACCATACCCCAGCACGACCACACCCCAGCACGACCCGACCCCAGCACGACCCTACCCCAGCAAGACCACACCCCAGCACGACCACACCCCAGCACGACCTCACCACAGCACGACCACACCCCAGCACGACCACGCCCCAGCACGACCACGCCCCAGCACGACCAGCCCCAGCGACCACCCCCCAGCACGACCACCCCCCAGCACGACCACCCCCAGCACGACCACGCCCCAGCACGACCACACCCCAGCACGACCACTCCCCAGCACGACCACACCCCAGCACGACCACACCCCAGCACGACCCCCCCCAGCACGACCACACCCCAGCAGGACCCCACCCCAGCACGACCCCACCCCAGCACGACCCCACCCCAGCAAGACCACACCCAGCACGACCACACCCCAGCACGACCTCACCACAGCACGACCACCACCCAGCACGACCACGCCCCAGCACGACCACGCTCCAGCACGACCACGCCCCCACGACCACCCCCCAGCACGACCACCCCCCCAGCACGACCACCCCCAGCACGACACCCCCCAGCACGACCACACCCCAGCACGACCACTCCCCAGCACGACCACACCGCCTTGGTTGAGTGGTTGCCTGTCGTCGTGGAATGTTTCGTGGGGTGTCTCGTGGAATGTTTCGCGGGGTGTCTCGTGGAATGTTTCGTGAGGTGTCTCGTGGAATGTTTCGTGAGGTGTCTCGTGGGATGTTTCGTGAAGTGTCTCATGGGATGTTTCGTGAGGTGTTGCCCAGTTGGGTATCGTGAAAAAGTGTCCATGCTCCACATGTCTATATCCCTTTCCGGGTTCGTGGGTCCATCATGTTTCCCAAAATGCTGCTCTCGTTGAGGCGCCGGCCTCATTTCTGCTCCCGAATCCTTCCCCTGATGGCGTCCGGGTGATAGCCGCGCACCCTCCGCGTACTGTTCCCGGAAAGGGCTCAGGCCCAGGGTTCTCTTTTAGTAGGTAAACCTGTCCCCCGGTGCCAACTTGAGGGAGGCCGGCGAATTTTTTCCCTGATAAATAACGAGGTCGAAGGAGGCCGGCGAATTAAAATTTGAGGATGTCTCGAGCGAAACGCTTGTTTTTGAAATCCCGATCGATAAATCACAGGGTGCGGGCCACTTTTTCGTGTGTTGAGGATGTCTCGAGCGAAACGCTTGCTCCGCAGAGTTTGCCGAGGATGTCTCGAGCGAAACGCTTGTTTTGCAGAGCCGACCGCGACGCGGAAAAGCGCCCCGCGCGAAGGAATTTCGATGATGTCTCGACTAATTCGTTTGTTTTTGTACGATTTCCTGGAATTTTGGCAGGATGTCTCGAGCGAAATGCACGACCCCACCCTAGCACGACCATACCCCAGCACGACCACACCCCAGCACGACCAGACCCCAGCACGACCCCACCCCAGCACGACCCCACCCCAGCACGACCATACCCCAGCACGACCACACCCCAGCACGACCCGACCCCAGCACGACCCTACCCCAGCAAGACCACACCCCAGCACGACCACACCCCAGCACGACCTCACCACAGCACGACCACACCCCAGCACGACCACAGCACGACCACACCCCAGCACGACCCCAGCACGACCACCCCAGCACGACCACACCCCAGCACGACCACACCCCAGCACGACCCCACCCAGCACGACCCCACCCCAGCACGACCACACCCCAGCACGACCACACCCCAGCACGACCCCACCCCAGCACGACCCCACCCCAGCAAGACCACACCCCAGCACGACCACACCCCAGCACGACCTCACCACAGCACGACCACACCCCAGCACGACCACGCCCCAGCACGACCACGCCCCAGCACGACCACGCCCCAGCACGCATCACGCCCCAGCACGCCCCGACCACCCCCCAGCACGACCACCCCCCCAGCACGACCACCCCCAGCACGACCACCCCCCAGCACGACCACACCCCAGCACGACCACTCCCCAGCACGACCACACCGCCTTGGTTGAGTGGTTGCCTGTCGTCGTGGAATGTTTCGTGGGGTGTCTCGTGGAATGTTTCGCGGGGTGTCTCGTGGAATGTTTCGTGAGGTGTCTCGTGGAATGTTTCGTGAGGTGTCTCGTGGGATGTTTCGTGAAGTGTCTCATGGGATGTTTCGTGAGGTGTTGCCCAGTTGGGTATCGTGAAAAAGTGTCCATGCTCCACATGTCTATATCCCTTTCCGGGTTCGTGGGTCCATCATGTTTTTTAACACACAGGATGCCCGGGAAATCCCGGGAAACGACTCTCGCTGAGGCGCCGGCGTCATTTTTTCCCGGAAAGGGCGTAGGCCCAGGATTCTCTTTTAGTAGGTAAACATGTCCCCGGTGCCCAACTTGAAGGAGGCCGGCGGATTCTTTCCCTGATAAATATCGAGGTCGAAGGAGGCCGGCGGATTAAAATGTGAGGATGTCTCAGGCGAAACGCTTGTTTTTGAAATCCCGATCGATAAATCACAGGGTGCGGGACACCTCAGCACGACCACACCCCCAGCATGACCACACCCCAGCACGACCACGCCCAGCACGACCACGCCCCAGCACGACCACACCCCAGCACGACCACACCCCAGCACGACCACACCCCAGCACGACCACACCCCAGCACGACCACCCCAGCACCAGCACGACCACACCCCAGCACGACCCGATCGATAAATCACAGGGTGCGGACCACCCCAGCACGACCACACCCCAGCACGACCCCACCCCAGCACGACCCCACCCCAGCACGACCACGCCCCAGCACGACCACACCCCAGCACGACCACACCCCAGCACGACCACACCCCAGCACGACCCCACCCCAGCACGACCCCACCCCAGCACGACCACACCCCAGCACGACCACACCCCAGAACGACCACACCCCAGCACGACCCCACCCAAGCACGACCCCACCCCAGCACGACCACACCCCAGCAGGACCACACCCCAGCACGACCACACCCCAGCACGACCTCACCACAGCACGACCACACCCCAGCACGACCACGCCCCAGCACGACCACGCCCCAGCACGACCACGCCCCAGCACGACCACGCCCCAGCACGACCACCCCCCAGCACGACCACCCCCAGCACGACCACCCCCCAGCACGACCACCCCCCAGCACGACCACACCCCAGCACGACCACTCCCCAGCACGACCACACCGCCTTGGTTGAGTGGTTGCCTGTCGTCGTGGAATGTTTCGTGGGGTGTCTCGTGGAATGTTTCGCGGGGTGTCTCGTGGAATGTTTCGTGAGGTGTCTCGTGGAATGTTTCGTGAGGTGTCTCGTGGGATGTTTCGTGAAGTGTCTCGTGGGATGTTTCGTGAGGTGTTGCCCAGTTGGGTATCGTGAAAACGTGTCCATGCTCCACATGTCTATATCCCTTTCCGGGTTCGTGGGTCCATCATGTTCCCAAAATGCTGCTCTCGTTGAGGCGCCGGCCTCATTTCTGCTCCCGAATCGTTCCGAATCGTGCTCCCGCTGCAGCGTGGGCCTCATTTTCGGATCGGTGTTTGGCCTCCGTCGTTCAGGATGGCGTTCTCGCCCCAGCGCGGGCCTTTTTCTCGCGCGCCCATCCGCCCGCCACCACCGCGCCGCACCGCCACCACCACCACCACCACACCACCACCACCACCACCACCACCACCACCACCACAACCACCACCCCACCAGCACCAGTACCAACACCACCACCACACCAGCACCACCACCACCACCACCACCACCACCACCATCACCATCACCACCACCACCACACCACCACCACCACCACCACCACCACCACCACCACCACCACCACGACAACCACGCACACACGCACGCACGCACGCACGTGCACCACCACTCACTACGCACGCGCGCGCGGAGCCACAGGTCCGCTACGACACGCGTCCGCGCATAGAGAAAATCAGCGCCATGGTAAGGGATGGGAGGGAGGGGTAGGACGTCAGATATGACGCGAGCGCACCTAGCTTGTCCTCCTCCCCCTCTTCCTCTTCCCCTAGGCTACCCGCACTCCTCCTCTTCCCCCTCCTCCTGAACCCCCGGGATCCTTCGCGTCCTCCCCGTTTTACGCCTCATCCGCCTGGCCGTCGTCCTGTTTCGCCCCTAGTCCTCATCCTCCGACGCGTCGCTTATTCCCCTGTCTGCGTCCACTCCCTCTTTAATCTTCCCATCTTGCCACCCGAGCGCCTTGCTGGGGCAGGTTAGGCGCCCTAGTCGTGTTCATAGCCGCAGGCGCGATCGGGGATCGTTGCCGCTGGAATCGGCCGCTGCGGTCGACCGGTTGGCGCCCTGTGTCCTTGCACTGTTGCGGTGGGGGGACAGTCTTTTGCTTCGTGGCTTTCGGCCTATGCCGCCACCGTGCTTGTGTTGTAGGTCAGCGGCCTCTTGCAATGCCAGTTGGGATCTCTAGGGAAGCCAATCGGAAGCCTCTTGGAGGCAGTTCTGGGGCCTCGAGGGGCATCTCGGTTGTCTCTTGGGGTTCTCTCGGGGCGTCTTTTGGGCTTGGGGACCTCCTCGCGCTTCTTCGGGGGCTTTGGGGGCCTGCTGGCAGGTTCGAGGGCCATCTTGGAACGGATGGCTCGACATGTCAGTTCGTGTTCCCCCTCTTCGGCCCCTCTGAAGGGCTGGCCGCCTTAGGGGCCTCTAGGGCAGTCTCTGGGCCCTCTGGGGCCCTCTTGGGGGCCTCTTGAGGCGATCTTGGGCCGATCTCCGGGTCCTTTTTGGCCGTCTTGACGCTCGAACGCTACAACCTTTTGGATGGCCTCTTGGAGCCCTCTTGGGTTGGGTCGTCTCTGGGGGCTCGTAGGCCGTCTTGAGGCGCTCTTGGGTGTGTTGGAGCGCTCCTGATCCGTCTTGGGACCCTCTTGGGTGGTAATGGGGGCCTCTGAGGACGCTCTGGGGCCGTATTTGCGCCCGCTTGCATTTGAACAAGGCACGCGACCGTACCCCGACAGCACCCGACCATTATCGTCCAAAACTTGGAGTTACGGGCCTCGCAAAGTTTACATAATATTTACACTATTGATTTCTCGACGCAGAGGATTCAGGCACCTGGGGACATTCCACCACGTGCCAAGGCGCGGTGGCGCATCTGCGGGCTGGCACTCGGTCTTTCAGAGTGAGTGGGTTGGACTTGTCGCGAGTGCCTTCTGCCAGAGTCTGGCATCAGCGCTCGCAAGCGATGGATGCGATAGCTGTCTCGCGGCCGATCGGGGCCCGCGCTTCGGCAGCCAAGGCGGAGGCGGCCGCGACGGCAGGCCCGAATTTGTTTCGAGCGAGGGGGGCCACGCGCAAACTCGACCGAGTCTCTCACGCGCATCTTGCCAGAGGAGTGGGCCCAGGCGTCGGGCGATCTGATTTGTTGAGCCTGATGGCTTTCTTCGCCTTCAGGCCTCGGGGCCGTGATTGGGCCCAGGACCATCAAGCATGCATCCGAGACGAGAAAATGTCTCCGGGGAAGAGGGCGAGACCTTTCGGGCTGGCGGGTTGAACAACCATGGGACGTCCTGGGAGGTGCGGGGAGCAGTAGGAGGCACACGCAACGGCAGAGACGGTCGGGGGGGGTTGGAGGTCGAATCGATGTCGGATCGAAGTTGTCAGCTACCCCCTCATATTGAAGTCAAGGCAGGAGCAGGGAGAAGAGGGCAAGCGGGTCTCCCTGGCTTCTCCCTCCGAAAGAGGCCTTCTCGGCCCAGTCCGGCACCATCCCCATGACTGCCTCGGCGTACCCCCTGCGGGCTCGCCAAGCCGGTGCCCGATTTGCATCCACGTCTCCAGATTCCCCGACAGTCGTTGGGAAGAGGGTCGCGTAGTATTTTTGTTGCGCATTCCCTATACATTTGGCTACTGCGATGTTTGACCAGGCGGATTCGTCTGCGTCGGTTGAGGGCGAGGTTCGAACGCCCGCGCTCCGTATCAGGCATAGTGATGGAGCGCGCGCCGTTGGCTGCTGGATCGCTCGCGCTTAGTAAGAAGGCAGTGAGGGAACGCACGCCGCGGGTGGAACGGTGCCCCCAGCGTCGCTTACCGCACTCAGCCGCGCGCCGGAGGAACAAGTGTGTGTCCAGATCCATTCGGTTGTTTTGTGCCTAGATGCGCCTTCGCGCGTTTTCTCGGCTCGCTGATCCCGCTCCACTTCCCGAGAAAGCGAATCCGTCGCAAACGCGACCCGTTCCAGATGCGCCCGTTTGGACTCACAGGGAGACTGCGCGTTACCCCCCGCTCGGGAGGCAGAGCTGCTGCTCTCTTTGGGCGCCGCTGCGCTGACTGTTCGGGGGGCCTTGCAGGACTGCCTAGACGTTCGGATTCAATACGATCCGATTCGCTGGCGGAGGCCGCAACTCTAAGTCGATCCGATTCTCCTGGAGGCCTAGAAGTTGGCACCAGCACCGTTATCCACAGTTTTCTCCACCGAGGGAAGATGATCCCGATCTCCGCTATGGTGGTAATGTTCGGGCTTGCTGGCCGAACTATTGCCACCAGAATCGAAATCTATGATCATCTTTTCCCGATGGAGGTCACCAGCCGTGTTGGTGTTGTTGCCCGTTTCCCGGCCTCCAAGCTTCGATTCGTTCACATGCATCGGCCAGGACAAGCCAGAACTAGGCGCGGCGATCCGACCTTCATCCAGTTCGGGGTTCGATCCGTGTGGCGATCCGATCCGCTTCCGACCCCACCCGACTTTGCGATTCGATCCAGTTCTCGCCAGTCTTGTCCGTCCCGCAAACAGCCCTGCCGCTTTTGCGTCCGACGCAGATCCGACGCAAGTCCAACTGGACAGCGACAGTCTCCCAGAGATCCAGCACAGGTTGAAGCTTGGCTCCAGAGGGCGGCGGGTCCCAGCGTTCGCTGGGGGCTCCCAGGGGTCCCACCAAGTGCCCCCGCCCCCCCAGACCCAGCCACTCCTGCCCCAGAAAGCACGGCAGTGGTTGAATGTCGTGGGCCCCCACACATCTCGAGGGGGCCATCCCGAATTCTTTGGGAGGGCAGGGCGGCAATTGACGGGACAGAGGGGGGATTCGAGCAGTTGAAGAGGGCTGCATTTTTGCAGGATCCCGCTGAAGGGCATTCCAGCACGCTGTGGTTGATGTTTCTCTGGGCATGTGCAGCAATATCGTTGTCCGTCCGAGTCTTTTCAATCGCACGTAATGTCGGCACCTTTGCGCTTTGATCACTTCGCTTCGCCTTGGGGAGTTCCGTGGCATCGGGGTGTGTGGGCGGTGGAAGCGGACGAGCAGGAACATCAAGGAGGATGTTTCTTTCTGAGGATGCCCCACGATAACTTAATATCACGATGTCCAGAGAGCCCTGTGGCACTTAATTTGATTGTGGTGAGATGTGTGATCATCCGTGCCTACATGTATCGGGAAGGCATGGGGAGATCAGTTGTCATTCAGGTTGTTGCGATTTCTTCCCATGTTCCATGTGTCGCGATCGATTCCACCAACACGTTTCAAAAACGGCGCGCCAGAAATTGGGCGTCAGGCAGGCGGCATTGCAATACATTCAATCGTTTTCTAGAGGGAATAAAGGCGAACCACCGCAGCGAGCACGGAAAGACACCAGGTAGGTGGGTCACGTGACGATCCCAGACTTGAGCACGTGATACAAACGGCGGCCAAATTGGATACATCATCAGTCAATCTGCAAAACGACATTCCCACAACATGTTTAAGAGCGTCTGAGGGGGGCGCAGGGCGGTTGCATCGGCAGTTGCAGCTGCCAAGCTGGCCACAGAGTGCGGTGCTGCCTGCTGCGGGCCCCGCGCCCGCCGCCCCAGGGACGCCGCGCTCGTTCCGCGAGCGGCTGCAGAAGGCTTCCGGCGCGAATCGGCGGAGCGCGGGGAGGAGGGATGCCGAACGAGGAGGGGGAACTATCCAGAGGAACGAGAGGTCGGTGGGTACCGCCGAACTCATGGAATGTATCCCGAGCCCAGCGCATCTTAGCGTGCGTCTCCTCAAGGGTACCGCTCTTGCCTGGGAGCGGGCCCCAACAGGGCTGGTCAAGGGGAGCACGGCGTCGAGCATGTAATTCGTGTCTTCGCCGTCCACGGTGGAAATGGCAGATATTTGTTTGGAGGTGGTCATCATGAACGGTGGGCGCGAGACGGTATGCCAGAGTTCTGGTCGGTTGGTATGGTTGCGGATATTCCCTTTTGTATTTTGGCCCACTAGTCACCCGCCAGCGAACGAGATCATGTATTGAGATTATTCCTTTATCTGGTTACCTGCGGCCCACCCAGCCCAAACACGAAGGTTTTTGAGAAGGGGGCACAGAACACCTGGGGTCTGTGTGGAAGCATGTTGGATCTTTTTGTCGGAACATTGCGTGGGGAGCCGGGAGGCCGCACAGTGCAACATATAGTTCAAAACGCGTCAAGTAATCCCACCAGCCCATTCAGACAACATGTTCAGACGAGTTGCCGTGATCAGGGGTGTGGAGTATACTGCAAGGTCATAACAAAGGGTTGGGCAAGACGTCGTGCGGGAGGGGAAGACGAGTCGGAGGAGGAGGAGGAGCAATAGGAGGAGGGTGGGAGGAGGAGGAGGAAGTGGAGGCGGAGGAGGAGGAGAAGTGGGCATCTTCTCACATGATGATTGGGGGGGGTGCGCGCGCGTTGCCTCCCCCCGACCGCCCGCTTCCGACACGCACACCACTCACAGCAGCTGGCGCCCCAGTGGAGTCAGACGCGGGCGGCCCACAGCGGCTTCAGCATCGTGACATATAACCCAAATTCCGTCAATGCAGAGCGGAGCCGGGACACCGCAGAGGAATTCGAGAAAATGGGTCTGATAGGGTTGATCGGCACACAACAGAAGTCATCGGGGGAGATGCTGAACACAAGCATATCGACGAGGAGACACTGGTGTGTGGACTGGGGACGGCAAAGAGGGGCGATGACGAACAATTCGTGTGGGTTGGCACTGTGGATCCATAATAGATTGTTCGGGACGAAGGATTGCAAGGGTTTCCTCCCAGTCCCCAAAGAAGCTCCAGGGACGAGTCGGAGGATTGAAGTTGCAGAGGTGTTCAATGAGGCTGGCGCCGATATTGCTCTATCTCCCATCGCAACCGCGATATCGAGCGCCACGGACTCATCAGTATGAGGCGACGATTACGAGCATGGGGCGGTGGTTACTATCAGTCCTGAGCCTATTGTCGGCGAGATGGTCACCGATTCTGATGATGGATGCGAATGGCCAGTTTGAATCGGAGGGGAGCGCTGTGGGACCGTCTGAAGCGGGAAAGAAGAACATGGCCACGGCGATGCTCTATGAGGTGATAGCGGCGCAGGAGCTGAGTGTTGTTAGCACGTGGTGGCCATCGGGTGCGACGTACTATGCAAATGGTGAGGCGCATGTTCTCGATTATATTGTGACTCCAGAAAGCTGGAGGCCTGATGTCAAATGGTGTAGAATACAGGAGCAGGGTGCATGGTGGCTGCAGTCGCACACGCAGAAGACCTTGTGGGACCGCGCGCCGCTGGCGTGCGAGGTCCTGCGTGAGTGCGTGGCTCAGCCGTATGAGGTGATGGAAAAGGCAGCAGGCGCCCAACAAAGAGGCGACGCCTATGTTGTTGCAGAGGGGCTGGCGACGCCAAGGGTTCGTGGAGCAGTTGGAAGCACGGGTGGAGCACGTGCACGAGCGGGCAGCGCCGACGGAGGGTGCGTTGCGCATGGACGTTGCGAACGAGGGCATCATGGAAGCGCTGACGCAGATGGGCATGGGTGTCTCCGCGGCGTCGCCGCTGTGCACGGAGGGGCGCGATATACAGAGTGCGAAAGTTACGGAATTTCTGCAACAGAGAAGATATGTACGCGAGAAGTTCCGAGAGCTCCAGTACCTCGCGCACGCCGAGAGGGTCAGCGACTTTGGCTGCGCGAGCGGACGGACCGACCAGAGGCTCGAGGGCGACGGGCAGCAGGAGCACGGGGAGGAGAGGAGCAGCGCGGACTTGCACCTGAGGGATCTCGAGTTGACGGTCGAGCTGAGGCGGGCGAGTAAGTGGGCGCGGAACAGGGGGGGCGCGCGCGAGGCAGCTGGGGGAGGATCGCGCCCAGGAGTTCAAGGATGCGGCGGAGAGGAAGGACAGCGCGACGATGCATCGCGCGGAAGGGCTCCTCGCTCAGAGGCACCGCGGTGCACGCGCGAGGACATTCGGGAAGCATCGAGTTGGGGGCGCGGGGGCGGAGCGGGGGGGGGGGCGCGAGGGCGTGGACCTGATGGCGGGCGCTCGGCAGTCGAGGTGACGACGCGCGAGATGCCGAGGGACCTGGGGGCGAGGAGGGTCTGGGAGAGGGTCGCGACGAATGGGGGGATGAAGAGGGGCTTCGGCGCGCTGAGGGGCGCGCCGTGGAAGGCGAAGCTGGGGAGGGCAATGCCGGGCTGGAGTGCGCACGTGGAGCTTATCAGTCGCGCTTCCTTCCCGGGGCGATGAAGGGGCGCTGGGGGGTCGGGCTGGAGGGCGAGGTCGGGCAGCTGAAGACGCCGAAGTTCTACAGAGTGATGAGTGCGTTGCTGTGCGAAGGGCCAGACGCGCGCTACCTCGGAGCTGGGTGGCGGCGAAGGCAGCTCGCATAGGCAAGAGCGCGGACAAGGAGGGAGTGATGGGGGGGCGGATCGCGACGTCGGCGCGCACGTTAGCGAAGGGCTACTACGGCGGGGCGGCGAGGAGAGCGCCCGCGGTCAAGGCTCTTGCATGGGCGCACGGAGGTCTGAAGCGACGGAGACGTGCAGGAGCTATCGTGGCGCAGATGGCGACGGCCTGGAGGATGAGAAAGGTGGGGCTGCAGCATGGAGAGGGATTCCACGGCGCGGCGAACGCGTTCGTCTCGATGGGCAAGGCCACACTGAAGAGGGCGGCGACCAGGGTGCCGGCGGAGCAGGGCGCCCCGCTGTCGTTGCTGAGGCTGGACTACGCGCGCTTTCAGTTCGACGGCGCCCCCGAGGCCCTGGTGCGGCGCACGGGGGAGGAGTGCGCGCCTGGGGGCCCTGCGATGGTGAGGCTGTTCGTGATGGCGTGCGCGCTTGGCGCGGCGGAGCTTGAGCAGCATGCGCTGACTTGGGCGAGCGGCGAGTCCCCGTTCGAGGAAGCGGGGGGGGGGGGGGGCGCAGCTGGCCATGGCGCTGTTCGTGGGCGACGTGGCGGACTCGTTCCCGTTCTCCAGGGCGTCGGAGGCCGTCGAGGTGGGCCATGCCCACGACGACCGCGTGAGTGGCGCGCGCTTGCGAGGGCGGGCATGGCTCAGAGCGCGGAGAAGCAGGAGGCTTTGTTGTTCTGCGCGGGGGCGGGCGCGCACTGCACGTAGCGGACGTTGCATGGCGGGCAGCTGCTACAGGGACTCACGGTGGCGGAGGCGAGGTACCTTGGTCCGAGATGCCCGGCGCGCTTGGCGGTGATGCCAGAGGTTCAGAAGCGGCTCCAGGCTGGCATGGTCGCGTGGAGTCAGATGGGCAACTTCTGGACGTCGGGCGCGCCGCAGAAGTGGAAGGCGATATTCTTCAAAGGATGCGTGGCGAATGCGCTGCAGACGGGCCTCGAGGCGATGGCGAAGTCCACGGGCCCCCCCTGGAGAGCAGCGACCTGGACATGCTCGAAGGGTTTTCCCGGAAAGGGCTCGAGCCCAGGGTTCTCTTTTAGATGGTTTACCCCCGGTTTTGACGGGAGGTGGGCCGGCGAAATTATTCTGCGATAAATTACGCGCGGGAGGTGGGCCGGCGAATTAAAATTTGAGGATGTCCCTAGCGAAACGCTTGTTTTTCAGAATTTGTTGAGGATGTCTCGAGCGAAACGCTGGTTTTCCAGAGTTGGGGACGTCTCGAGCGAAACGCTTATTTTCAGAATTTGTTGATGATGTTTCGAGCGAAACGCTGGTTTTGCAGAGCCGACCGCGACGCGGAAAAGCGCCCCGCGCGCAGGAATTCCGATGATGTTTCGCGCGCGCCGCGTCCCGCGCGCAGGAATTTCGAGGATGTCTCGACTAATTCGTTTGTTTTGCAAGGATTTCCTTGAATTTTGGCAGGATGTCTCGAGCGAAATGCTTGTCTTTCATAATTTGTTGAAGACGTTTCGAGCGAACCGCTGGTTTTGCAAAATTGGGGGATGTCTCGAGCGGGGGCCTCGTGGGGGGCTTCGTGGGGGGCCAGAATTCAGAGGATGTCTCAGGCGAAATGCTTGTTTACACGTCCCGCTCGCAAGAATTTCGAGGATGTCTCGCGCGCCCGCGCCCCGCGCGCAGGAATTCTGAGGATGTTGGCAGGATGTCTCGAGCGAAGCGCTTGTCCCCAGCGCGATCCGTAGCGCGTCCCCTTGGCACGTCCCGCGGTGCGTGCCCGTGGCACGTCCCCTGGCACGTCGCTTGGCGGGCCCCTTGGGGCGTTCCGCGGCGGGTCCTCCTGGCATGTCCCCTTGTCAATTAGCTCTGGGGCAGCTACTATGTGTTCAGGCAGCTCGAGCTTAAGATCCAGATCAGGACTCGGATGCAGAGGAGGACTCGATCCACGAGGCTATCTAGAACACAATCGCGGCATGGCACATCGCAAGTCAGCACGGCGCAGCACAGCACAGACTTCGGCACAGTACATCAAGATCGACAGACTCAGCATTGCAACTTGGCACGTTCCTTGGAACGTTCCGTGGGGCGTCCCGTGGCGAGTCCCCCCGGCACGTCGCGCGGCGCGTCCCCTGGCGCGTCCCGCGGCACGCCCATTGGCACGTTCCGTAGCGCGTCTCCTTGGCACGTCCCGCGGCGCGTGCCCATGGCACGTCCCCTGGCACGTCGCTTGGCGTGTCCTTTGGGACGTTCCGCGGCGCG